CAAAAAAAAGAAGCATAAAATATAATAGAGGGGAAAGTGAATTTGTGGCATGCAGAAGATTGGAGCCTCTTACACTTTAACGTGCTAAAAAATGGACCTATCCAGAACTACAAATTTTGTTATTTTGGATAGAAAGAAATGTTCCAATATTACATACAGTAAAATTCGAATGCTCTGTATGATATAATAATCAATATATAATATCTAAATATTACCATCAAAAATACAAATCAAATTTACGATCTAGATCTGATCTTCAATGTTGACAGTGTTCCGGTTTCAGATTAAATATTCATAAAAATGCAATTATTAATAATAAACGAAACCTATCATTGATATAATTATGTTCCGAGGACTTTACCCTCCATGCACTTCTCTAATGGTTCCTATAAATGATCTGTCGCAAGAACCCTGACCAACATTTGAAGCCCAGTACCGGTAAGGGTATATACTAATCTGAGTGGCTGTCGAACGCACGTTGTGCGACCAGTTTTGGGCACTATTGTCTATCCGTCTAACGATCTTTTCCTCACCCATGCACCCCCATTTGCCCGTTTGTGTCTAACTCTACCTGTTTGTACGAGCCGCTTCTTCCGTTGTGGCTATTTCTCGGCGTTTTTTGTTTATGAAGATCAGCTTTGAGTCATACATAAACATGGTTATACGGACATAGACACGCAGACCCACAGACAGACAGACCTATTGGACAGTTTCAGGCATTGGAGCAAGGCATTGAACTGTTGCTGCCGCTGCGGAAGTAACCCAGTTGTGCCAAGCGAGTTGAGGAAACGCTTGCCAAACCACTCAAAATGTTTAAGCCCAAACTCAAACAATTTTATTCTCGTTCGCAGCCTGAGTCGGTGAACAACATCACAGCAGATCGGACGATCATCAGCAAAACCGAAGCATAAACATGGGAAAGGCAGAGTGCATTAGCTACGATGAACAGCAGCTGCCATACATCGATCTTGGATCGGCTCGCATCCGCATGGAGAAGGAGCCGGCACCCGAATGGGCTCTCAAGAAGGCACAGGATGAACTGCGGGAAACTCCGGGCCACAAGGAGCAGGCCATCAAGGAGCTGAGGGAACTTATACAAAGTAAATTGGGGAAATCAATTAAATTAGTCAGCCGATTTCTCAAGTGTGTGTTTTTCTATATTGTTAAGATGAAAAGTATCTAAACTTGCCACTGGATGATGAGTACATGATGATGTTTTTGCGTCCTACCCATTACTATCCAGAGGGTGCCTTGAAAAGGGTGAGTGCTCAGTGAATTTAAAATTTGCAACAATATTAGATTAACAAAGTTCAAAGTAACAGTCGCAGTATTTAATGAATTGTAAGGGAGACATCCAAACCTAAAGAAGTTTTCCTTAAATTTTAGTATATTATAGTATATAATATATATTTAGTGGACATTTTATCTCTAATCAAACATTTATTTCCATTTTCAGCTCAAGAACTTCTATCACATGAAACTGAAATATGGCATTGCCTGTGAGAACATAATCCCCTCAAAATTGCGTAATGTATTTGAGGCTAATATACTGAATCTGTTGCCAGAAAGAGATCAACATGGCCGTCGTCTACTAGTGCTAGAAGCAGGAAGTAAGTCATCATCATCACACCTCACACAAATGATCTCTCTTAATACCTTTTTGCACAACAGAAAAATGGAAACCATCACAGGTGCCGTTGCCCGATCTCTTCCGTGGCATACAGTTGACAGTTTTGGGATCCATGGTGGAACCATACTCACAAATTTGCGGAGCAGTTGTCATCATTGATATGGAAGGTAATATCATCTAGAATTAGTACTATGTGCATATGATAGGAGAGTTATTAATCATGTATTTTGTAGGTTTGCCACTTAGCCATATTACGCAATTTACACCGTCGTTTGCGGCCATGTTGTTGGATTATGTACAGGAATGCATTTGCGTGCGCTTGAAGGCAGTTCACATTGTGAACAATTCATACATATTCAATATGCTCTTTGCCATATTCAAACCATTCATACGCGAAAAGCTGCGCAAGCGTGTAAGTATTCAAAGTTTCTAGATATGCCTTTTCTACATATATTACTACTCCTCAATTCAACCCGTAGATCTTCTTCCATGGCAAGGACTACAAGGCTTTGACATCTCACATTGACGCCAGTTCCTTGCCACCGAAATATGGCGGCACTGCAACATGGGAACTTCCTCCTGGAAAACTTCTGGGAGAGTTTTTCGAGTGTTATTCCAAGGATTACGAGCGTAGGCTACTTTTCTCATTATCTCATAACTTTTGTACTAATTGTTTTCTTTATCTTTCAGTTGCTGACAGCTATGGCTATACTGCGGGCTATAAAATCAAGAAGTAGACTACAAGTCATAATTTCCCTACCCATATACCCACACTTTCCCCCTTTTCGATTCGTATTTTAGTCACTTAAGTTGGGTCATTTGTGATATTGCAAATATAATTGTACTATTATTAAGTTAAAGCAACGCTCAAAGATTGGCATGTTCATGAACGAACCAATAATCTTCTTTAGGGTTTTCTAGGATGTACATTCGTACACTACATACATACAACCGTATGTATGTATATACGAGTATATGTATTGTTCTATTTGATAATTAACTGTTGATAAAATAATAAAGATGTGAAAATTTGTTGATAAAATTAAATGAAATTTAATTAAGAAAGGTGGAAATTATCCGTTAACTAGAATAGTTATTTAGAAGCCATTCGGATTCCTAAGAGTATTTTTATACTCCTATAGAATGTGCAGATGGACCTCTACTCAGACTTTTTATTCCCATTTTAGTGGTTAAATAATACGATGACAAATGTGAAAGTGATCTAACTGTGCATGTAGGATTGAAAGTAATTTGATAATCTAGAAAAGGGCTTTTAAATTTTTATACCCGTACTCAGAAAGAGTTAAGGGGTATTTTGTATTTGTGGTAAAAATGGATTTGTGCAACGCAGAGAAGCAAACGTTTCTGACCCCATTAAGTATATATATTCTTGATCAGCATCAATAGCCGAGTCAATAGTGTCCGTCCGTCTGTCCGTCTTGATGAGAGCCTAGATCTCAGAGACTATAAGAGCTAGAGCAACCAAATTTTGTTTCCGAACTCATGTGATATCACACTACTAAAAGTGTACTTCAAAATTTAAAAAAAGGAGAACAAATATTGGTTTTTCCATCGATTTTGTATTGCTTCAAATGGCTTGGCTATTGGACTACTCTTGGGGAGCTTGCCATTGGATCTGACCGACAGCTACCTGACTCTGGTGTTCGATCAGCTTGCAGAGGAAGAGAGGCAAGAGAAGAAAAGAATCGGGTTGCAGAGGAAGAAGGGGAAAAGTTGTGCAGTGAAAAAGGAGAGCATGTGCCAGGCGAAAGCAAAGTTGTGCCGCAAAAAAAGATGTCAAAAGTGTCCGCAAAAGCCGCAAAAGAGGGAAAGCTACTCTTGGGAATCTTGCCATCGTGTTTAGTCCTCACAATAATTGACTGAAGACAAGCGGGGTCGAAGACGACGAGTGTTTGGTAGTGGTCTTGGCTGTATTCATCATCGAAACCTCTGAACTTGTCACAATCTGTAAATCGTCCAATGTGATGATTGTGCGATCGGCCTTTTTCGCAATGGCCTGGGCCTCACGGAGTTTATTTCTTGCCTCATCTGCAACAGGGTGGTGCTAGAGCTACATCGGTTTCTATCGCTTTCACTAACGGATCACTTACTGATAGGCATAGCAAAAAGAGAGCTGGTCAGCTCGTGGTTTGGCGACATGGGCAACTCCACAACTCCGTCGAATAGTGTACAAATCCGGCTGTAATAATCTTCAAAACTATCCATTTTACAATTTTACAATCACAAAATTTAGTTTTAGACGAACGAACACTAACTTTTGATATTATTTTGGAATGAAATATAAACGAAAGGAAACTTGATTTGTCAAATTTTTAAATCTAAGCACATAAGATATTAGGAACAGTTTAAACATCTTTGTGTGTTTTCTCTCAAAAATGGTTGAAATTGGAACTCCAAAGTTTGATTATAAAGCTAATATATGTACATCATGGAAATAGTAGTGCCGCACGTCACCATTTTCAGGACTGTTGTTATACCCGTACTCAAAAAGAGTTAAGGGGTATATTGTGTTTGTGGTAAAAGTGGATGTCTGCAACGCAGAGAAGGAAACGTTTCCGACCCCATAAAGTATATATATTCTTGATCAGCATCAATAGCCGAGTCGATATAGCCATGTCCGTCTGTCCATCTTGATGAGCCCCTAGATCTCAGAGACTATAAGAGCTAGGCAACCAAATATCACACTGCTACAAGTGTATTTCAAAACTTTGTCTCGCCCCCTTCCACCCCCACAAAGGACGAAAATCTGTGGCAGGCACTATTTTAAAGATACGATAAAACTAATGACCATATCTACCAGAATATCGAATCTGAATCGGATCATAATTATAACCAGAATGAAGAACGCTACTCATTCTCCTTCTAGCTCGCACACACTGCGAGCGAGGAAGTACGCGAGCGCCCGCTTGCGGAGAAGATGTAGATGTAGATAACAGAAGAAGCAAAAAAATGTAAAATGTCAAATTTTTAAAATTCTACATAAATTACAAGCTCAAAAATGTATATACTGACTGAGTACGGGTATAAATGCAGAGTCGCGTCCCCAGAAGCGACTCAAACGTTCCTTCTCGTTATTTATAAAGCCTTAAGGAAGCAGGCTATTTGGATTATATGAAAGTTTTATCAGACCTATACATACATATGTAAATGTACATGCAGTATGTATATTCTTCATGCAGTTCTCAGGAATACTCGTAAAGACAAATGATTGAGTTGTCAAGAGTGGGTGTTCATTAACTTCAAGCTAATATTCTCTGTGTGGGGAAAACATATTGGGAGCCGAATTCATATCATCTAAAAGACAAAACACTTACAAGGTTCTTATTGCTAGATCCTTCCCCAAACAAAATTTAAATAAACAATTTTTTTTAAATATGTACTTTGATATTTTGGCCTTGGGTCTGCTTCAAGCGAACTGCAGAAAGACAATTTGATTAAGAAAACATGTACCTACATATACAAAAACGTCTTAAGTGCTAGAACTAGGGAATGTAAAAAGAGTATTCGTATGCCGAGCGAATGGGTTCGCTGGCTACCTCATCTTTGGCAAAGGCACTGGGAATGGTTTGAATTTTGATGGTTTTTGGTGTTGGCAAACGTATTACCTAAACTAGGAACTACGGCTAAAGCACTAGGACGGCTTAACTAGCTAAATGGCGAATGGCGAAATTATGCTTCCGCTACTCCTGCTTGTTCTCGCTGACGGACGTCGAGGCGGTGGCGACACTATCACCCGTCTGCGACTTGGACATGGCCGGGATAATGGTGGCATTTTGGCGCCGGGCGAGCAGGGGAGAACTATCTGGAGTGCCGCTGGTACTCTTCTCGCATATCAGAGTGGAGGCCTTGGACTTGAGCTCTTCGGCACTGGAGTAATGGGAGCGGCTCTTGTGTTCGCCATTTTTCTTCGTTTGGTTCTTCAGATCGTAGCGACGACTCCGGCACCAGGACAATATATGTTCGACGGGCGCCCAGCAGAGGAGGATGAGGCCAATGGCCAGGCAAACGCCAGCAAAGATCTGCCCCGACAGCAGGACAATGGGCAGCACCTTCAGTTGATCGGCCATTTCCGGTGTGATCCTCACCTTCTGCTCGAACCAGATGAGCGGAAAGAATATCTTGGGCACATTCTTGTACAAGGCAATCCCCTCTATGGGCTCCACCAGCATATTGACCTGGAAACGGGCTGCCACTTCGAGGGGAATGCCTGTACTTGGCTCAACAACCATGTAGAACTCATGATCCTCCTGCTTGGGCTCCAGTCCCTCCACTTGATCCACAAAATACTGATCGCCATTGTAGAAATGTGGGTAGGACATGAAGACGGGCGACCCAAAGCGGCAGGCACTGATGTTCATCACTCCCGAGGGCACGCACTCACCGCCACAGTAGCAAAGATTCTCGGGATAGAGTGTACCTAAAGAAACAATTCCATTATCTGTCCTTTGAGAGTATAAATAGCGGCAGTGCCACTTACCATTATCCACTGATCGTGGCCCACCAGCGAATTTGTAGCCCTTTAGGCCTTCAATCTCCACCGTTTTGACATAGTCCAGCGGAACTGTGCGGCACATATCGGGGGTGAAAAGGCCAACACTGCCGCCGGGTTTCAGATGCTGTGGCTGAAATTCTCCCGCCGAACCGTTGGTCATGCCGCAGAAGGACTCGAAGAAGCCCGTGTTCTCCTGGTAGTTCCACGTGTGCATCTGTCCCAGCTTGGCCAGATTGTCGGCCCCCGTAAAGACATTGAAGACACCGGTGAGGTCGGCACTGCCATTCCGGGTGTAGAACCAGCCAAACTTATCGAATGGCACCTTGACCTCGTCGCCAAAGATGGGCATGGCCATGGCCACGTCGATCATCACATCGTTGTAGCCAGTGAAAAGGAGCTCATCGATTTTCTTGCGGACGGACATTTCAGGGCCGTAGACCTTAAGACCCACATCGACCATGGCACGTTTGACACTGGGCCAATGCTTGGCCGTCGCTGCAGCGGACTAAGGAGAGGAACACTACGTAAGTAGGCCAGAATCAGAGGATATGAGAAGGATACCGACCAGTGCAACCGCATTGAGGGTGACAATCTCATCGTCCAGACTGCCGTTGCTGCCCTCCTCATCGAAGTAGAAGAAACTTCTCCGGCGATAGCTGACAGAAGCATTCTCCGGATGCCAGACGATGTCCACCTTATCGGGCCGCTCGCTGAATCGATATGGACCCACCTGCTCGAGTATGGGCTTCGTTGAGAGATTGTTAAACTCCTCGGGATTTGTCCAGTTGTACAGATAGATGTCCAAATTGAGTTCCAGCGGCGGCGACTTCCAGTTGTCGTAGACACGTGTGTCGGGTGCCAGAGCCATTTCCTGTGGAAGAGGCAACATCCCCCCAATTGTGATTAATTGAAAATCTGAACAAGTTCCCCTCGATCTCTGACTCGCGCCAATTGCGGCGGCACTTCTTCTTTGACTCCCAATTGGGGGCGGCTAATCGAGTGCAGCTGGTCGTATCAACACGTGTCCCATGTACATATCTACATATGTATGTACGTACATGCTGTTGTTGTTAATTAATTACCTTCTGCATGATCCAATTGAATATGTCCTCCCAGAACATTCCGCACAATATGCCAAAGAGTCCCAGGCTGAAGCCGAATATGCCGATAATTAATTTGCGATTGCTTTTCTGGCCCCACATGGCGCTGCTCTGTGTGGGCATGGCTCACGCTGCGAATTGGGTACTCTAATGGTGACTGTAATGATATGCAAGTTCTTTATTAGTTACTTTGAGAACGGAAACAGAGGCACAAGTGTGAATAAGAGTGTGTACTTCAATTGGGAGATCCATAGCAATATGGGGAATGAGTCAAGGTCTGCGGAAAATAATTTATATAAACAATCACATTTACATAGATGCTCAAAACTAGCTTATTTATTTTTTTTGTTTCCTATGATGATGCAGATCCATGGTAAGGTCCAACGAGATGAAAAAGAGTAAAAGCCCCTGTCCCGATATTATATTTCAACTACATTAATTGATATATAATTTCATGAACATAGATGCGAAAATCTATTTAAAGCAGCAAAAGCTAATTTTTAAACCCATTTTTTTTCTTTATTAGTATCTTTTATAGGAGAGTTAATTCCTAATAAAAGTTTTTCTTTCAAATATTCACTTATTTTTTCTTTAAATGGTCCAATCTTGGCTAATTGTACAATTTTAGTTTTAAGTGTTCTCTAAAAAATTGACCTATTTTCCATTTAAATGTCTTCGACTATACCGGGATCATACGGAAATTCTACATGGATTCTACACACCACACCTGCTAGATACCAAAAGTATTGCATACTTTATGGGCGTATTCCACTACAATTCAAGACCAGTCCAATATAGTCTAAAGGGCAGTGATAGCTTGAATTTGTGTTGGTACCCGTCTGCGAATTGTTATCAGTCGAAGATCTGTGCTGTGGCGCCATTTTTGCGACTTTAAAACCAAACTAGAGAATATATGTGTATCTCTCGCTCTCACTGCATTTTATCCCATGAAGTCCTACTGCCTTAGCTGGAATTTTAGTGGAATATACGACCTAGGCTGAACAATCAAGAAAATTATACAAAAAATGGTAAGCAGTCAAGCTCGGAATATATATTTTGCTGCTCAATGTGGGAGGACTTTCTCCTGCCACTTGTTGCACCCAAATGTTAACATTGCCCATCTAGCAGCAAGTTTGAATAGGTTTTTTATTTTCCACCAGTTGGAGTCCGATTATTTAAAAATCCTTACTTAATGCTAAAAGCTCGCTGACATCAGTTTTCTAGCAGCTTCGATATGAGCTGTGCGTTGATTGCTATTCAATCAGTAAGCAGACAAAGTGTTGTGTACTATTTACTATGTACATGCATACATATGCATATGCTTGTACATACATATATACACAGGTGTATGTAAAACTCATATTAGTCACTAGTAGGAACAAAGGAAATGCACACTTGCATTGATTTAAATATATATAAATAAATGGAGAACCTTAGAGATGGAACTGCACCGAGTAACAAATATAGCTAACGTCTCCTTTTTAATCAATATAATTGAATCAATTTAAGCAAAACGTGACTTTCAATTGATGTTTACACTAGTGTAGAATAGACCCATAGTTGTAAGTGCACATACGCAAATACTATATACATAAGAGTATGTATGCATACTTTGCCGATTCGCCCGTATCAGTGGTGATAATTACAAAGCTTCGCCTGACACTTTACAATGGATTCAGCGTTTTAATTAGTTGGAAGCTTCCCCTACACATACATATGTGCTATAGAGTTTTCCATTGCGAAGGCAAGCAAAAAATAACAATAAATAAAGATGTACATAGAGTCGAACTGTTTAAGCGCGTCATTTGTTATAGCGGGTATCCACTGCATTCCGATAAGCGGATTTCGAACCACGTCTAGGTGAATAGACCCATGAGGAAGACAGACTCCGACAGACATTGACGAACAATTGAGGAAATTGAACTGCACTGCACTTATCGCTTGAATGCAGACCAGGCCCAGAGCCAATCTATCTATCCCCACAATCTCTGAAGAGTTCCCATCACTTGCTATATAACAAATCCGCATAAATATACATATATGCATATATAGCTAGAGATATAAGAATGTATGTATGTATGTATGTATATATGATAGCATTGTCCGCATCGCTCTGATATATCGTCATAATTGAGTCTATCAATTGACCCCACAGTGAGCTATGGTTGGGTCTTTGACACTTTCCGTTATTGCACATGAATACGAATCTATATATAGGGACATATGCCTGTATGTATATTCGGGAGCGTGTCAACTGAGTTACTGTACATTTTCAATTGATATGATTATGTCTTTTTGAATGATGAATGACTGTCGCGAGCATTTGTCGGCGCCTTTTTATTGTTGGCTGCACTCTTCAAAATTGCGAGTGTGACAGATGTTTTAATTAAACTGGACATTGAACAGGTGGTTCCTGAAACACATCACACATCACACATCTTGGGATCTAAATTAGTCTGTTAATTCAATTAGATCCAGGCCACAACACAACACAACACAACATAACAAAACACAGAAGATTCGCATTTTCATCGAAGGAAGGCTTCAAGACACAACACTGAATAATTGCCTTCAATTAAGTTCAAAATTTCTTGTTGAGAGAGTTATTCATTTCATTTCGTTTGGGTTATTCATTATTGAATTAAGGAATTGTGATTGTCTTTCGTGCTGGCTGTTCAACTTTCTTATTGGCATTTTTTATGTGCACGGATATGCACGCGTAATGCAAATGACCAAAGAACACTGAACCTTGGACAGAATCAAAAAAAAAACGTGAAACTATTGATGCTGCCAGAGTTTGCTGCAATATTCTCTGGGAAGAGTGCCAGTAAATTTGTGAATAAAAACAATTTCTTCATGCGTATAGTTATTGATGAATGATCGGGGTGTTGTATACTCGAGAACATACACACGAGAAAAGAAACGTGATACATTTGTATATGACACATCGGTCTGTCCAACACCTTCTCAAATTATCAAACAATTTCCCAACGCAAGCCGCAAAAGGCCCGAGACACTGAGACATACTCAACCGCAACTTGTACATAGATTCGACGCAGTTTGTATAAATTCCGTCTCATCTCAGCAACAAAACAATAAATACAATTTGCCTTAGAATTATCATAGTCTTTAGTCTGCCGATAATGTGCTATCATCTACTTATGTATTAGCATGCAATTAAGTTCTCTTAGCCTTTAATTACAGAAATGCCAGCACCGCATCAATTAAAGACCAGAACTAAACCTATAAATACAATATTTATTTTGGCAAGCTGAAAGATAAAGAGTCTCGCCATTTGGCACTGTGCAACCTATTCATTTGTTTCTAACAAGGCGCACTCAGCTGCAATTAGTGTGCATCTCAATTTGGACTCAACTTGAACTTGAGTCATACAGGTCGTATGCGTAATTTGTTCCAAGCCAGCTGTTAATGGACTAAATTTAGCCACTGTATAGCGGAGGATTGCAAAATAAGTAAGTCATTCGATGTGCGACTCCTTTTGTTTTCATTAGCGACAGAAATTTCAATGGCATCGGTAGAACAAAGCGAAGTTAAGCACAATAATGCTGATAAATTGCATTTAGTAGGGTACAGTGGAAGCTCTGATGGCGGATATGTCGCTTGCTTTGTGGGTGCAACTCCCTTTGGGTATCGTACGAATTGACGTGGCTTCTATCTCTTAGGCGCTGATCTTCTTTTGGGATAAGAATCTCCTTTTGGAAATAATATTCATTAAACGCACAAACGTACGTAATAAAAAATTTAGTTATACCCTTGGGAGAGCTATCACTGTACTTTTATTGTGGAATTCTCCGCTCTCAGAGCCAATCGACTTCGATTTCTTTAATTGCCTGTAATCTTAATAAGTCTACCGGCGATTAAGCCAAATCGGAAATTTATGGATGAGCTTTCCACATCCGAGCTAACTAGTACGTTCGATTGCTTCTCTTACGCTTCTCCTCCCTCTTTCTCTGTGGGCACTCACTTGATGTTTTTTTTTTTGTATATTTGTTAAACAGAAACAAATCACCAATACGATACTTAGACTCGTATATCCTTATGGTGAAAATTGAAATTCGATAAGGATGTGGTGGACACACTCGAAGGCACTTGAGCACGTGCAGGTATGGTTTACACTCTTATAGTAGGATAGCACTTGCCACGGATATGGATATGGAGTGCTATGGATGGATGGAAGAGAGAACGCGACTCAGAGCAGTACCGTTAGCCACGAAAGCTTGATTACGAGTGCGCGACAGCCCACAGAAACTACAACGACAGCCGGGTGACTGTGACCCACCGGCGTTCTGAGCAGAGAGAATCAACGCCGGAGCAGCAGCAGCTGCCTGTGCTGCCTTTGCTGCCGTTGCTGCCGTTGCTGCTGTTGCTGCTGATGATGAATGTCAGTCAAGTGCGCCGGCACATGGAAATACGGCTTGAGAAGAGCTTTGTGTGTGTGCCTATGTGTGCGTGTGTGTGTGGGGGTGTTTGGGTTAATTTGCGCTTTAGATTTTCCATAGTTTTGTCATTGAATTTTGAATTAAACTTAATGAAATCTGAAACTCTGTGCGCTCTCTCTCTCTCTCTCTCTCTGAAATTGCAGTGTAGAACGGGACGTAAAACTGGGGCAAATATTATAATAAATAAATACCTAATCTCTAGTCGTTTCCAATTGAAATTCGGAGTGCAATTTCGCATGTCCAAAGAGTTTTGCAGGAAAAGTAAACAAATCATAAATGAAATAAAAACAAAATTGATAACACGCTGTCGAAACTTTATCAATGCGGCTAATCGTTGAGATTAGCACTGACTGAACCATACACAAATCAACTCACACTACACATGTAAGCGCCGTAAATTGACCGAGAACCGATCAAAGTTTCATAGAGCTTCCAATTATCGCACATCAAGCAAATAACTGTGCCAAACTTCGCCAATAGCACGGGAAAACAATACCCGAAAAACCACCCACGATGACTGCGGAATTGGCTGAGGCAATAAAACAATCAAATGTCTGAGCATGGAACATAGAGCCCAAATGCTTCAGCGGGTATTCAGGCTGTGGCTCCCTTATTGGATTATTGGCTCTGTGTCACTTCAGGGTGGTGGCGTGCGTATATGGATTAGTATTTGGTTGAGTGAAAGTGAAAGGTGAGTTACCGAAACAGATTATGTTGCACTGAACTAAATTAGGGTGTCGTCCCAGTGGAGCACACGACATTTCCTGATGTGAATGTGGGACATCGTGTCACACATTTAACAAAATCAAATTTTTCCGTGTGTAACGGTTTTTTTCATTTGAATCTGACAGTGCTACAAAAGCCCCGCAGTAGTGCTGAACAGCGTGTAAGTGTCTGGTCTGTTATTGCACTGTTAAGTGGGTTCTGTAAAGCAAATCAAATTCAAACGAGAAAATTCGCACCTAACAGCACGTAACTTTGCACCTGTTATAACGAACAATTAAATTCTAATTCAAAAATAAAAAATATGTAATATTACATAATATCATTTTTACATAAATTTCTAGGGAGAGTTTCACTGGAACCAAAATATTAAATATTATTTCCATCTTCTCTTGTCCCCCCCTATTATTTTCAAAATATATACTTCGAAACTTCATCCATTTGCATATAATTTATTAAACCTATTACAAATCTGTTAAAATCAGGAAAACCATAATTTTGTTACATTCAAAAGTTTGGATTTCCTTTATCATTATCTGCTGTAGGAAAAATGATTAATGATAAAAGTTATTCCACAAAGTAGATCTTACAGTTCAACCATCCATAAAAAATCCCATAAAAATTTCATCTAACAGTATATTTTTAACTTTTAACCCAAGACAACATTCTAAAATAATTCCCATTGAATAATTGTTTCAGGTTTGCCGCAAAAACAACTTCAGTTGGTGAATTGGTGCAACCCCTGCAACCTCTGAAAATCCGTGGAACTCCAGGTCTCCTCTCCCACCCAGCGTATGAGATTCGATCCTGGCGGTAGAATCAGCGGTGTTCAGCAACAGATTCAAATTATTCCTGCCATAGGTAAAGGCTTAGACCTATCGCCCGCCCTGCAATAATGTGACGATATTCTCCATTTTCTTATATTTGCATAGAAATGCGTTTTTAATTGTGTTTTAAACAACAATTCAACATGTAGATGCAGGACTAGTCATGGAGAAAGTGAATGTGGGTTGCATTTGTGCCGACTGCGTCTTCCATGTGATGTGTGGCCCGGAATTGGATGAGAATAATGAGATAGCAAGTGGCGGCGCCAGTTATCTGCAACGCAATAGAGTAAAAGTGAATGAAAATACATTTGCCGATATGCCACACACTGTACACTGTACACACCGTAAAGATGAGCGTGCGATCCAAGCGAAAGAGTCCCGCGGCTGTGAAGAGCACTCTCCTGTGGGAGAGCTGCAAGGACAGCCGGAAGAGGCGATCGCGCAGCTCTGGATCATCGGTGATGTTGAGGATCTTGTGCACAATGGCCGCACTTTGGCTGCTCTGCAGTATAGTCCGGCTGCTGGCCTCCACAATCAGAATAATAATGACAATGTACCAACTCATTTGTATGAGGAAGAAGGCAAAGAACTCATCCGCCTCAAAGACATCCAGTCGCTTGGGGTTCAGCACCGCCTCGAGGATGTAAAAGTCATCAAAGAGTATGAAAAGAAAGGAGATGGCTATGATGCCGAGCAGCGGATAGGTGAAGTACTCCTCGATGGTGTGGCAAATGTCGCACAGCAGATTGTGGATGTTGGACACCTGCTTGATGGCATACTCCGGATTCAGGCGTATTATGGAGGTCACGCTGTACCGCTTCATCGGAGTGCTAATCAAATTGCGCAGCCGGTGGGAGTATCGCTTGTGGTTCACCACCGAGTGCATGGGCGAGAGCTCCATCGCGCTGTACTGCTCGATGTGTGCATCCAGAATGTCCTGCAGGATCTACACATACGTATATGTATATGGGGAGTATCTATCAGGTTAGTGGGTAAATAATTCGATAATTTAAGTATATCTCACTTCGTTGAGCATGCTAAAACGACTCTTGGCCAAGTCGGTGGTGCATAGAAACTTGAACACCATTAGACTGATGTTTATGTGGGGCAGGGCGAACGCGGTGAAGGTCTCGAACGAGGGCGAGATGGTGGCGCTCACCAGCAGGCCATAGCTCACACACAAGTAGATGACGTTGAACAGCAGCATGCCCAGGGAAATGAGGAAGCTGAACAGCAGGATCCTGCGATAGTCCAACTTCATGCCCAGCCGCACAAATATCTCATCCACCACAATGTAGTTCTGGATAATGCTGACCAAACGCTGCCGCTTGAACATGGCAAAGCCAAAGATGGTGGACATGGCCAGGATACCAGTCAGACGCAATGTCTTGTCGCCCAGCCGCGTGATATTCGTCTGAAAGAAGTAGCCAATTATGGAGTCGCCCTCCATGCCCGAGGTCACGAAACACAAGACGAAGAACAGATAGTGCACGATACCGGCGACGAATGAGTATGTGGATGTTTGCACTTCCTTCCGGGGATTCAGATTGAGCCGAAACGGAGCCAGCCCCAGCAGGGAGATGTATGTCAGCGGACGCAAAGCCTGAAATACATTGTCCGCCTGGGAGATGCGCTCCCACAGCTTAAAGGCCATTTGAAACTGTTCGGCTAAGTGTCGCCTAACTGTTGCGCAAGAGGAAACGTCTGCACGACTCGCGTATTTTCCGCAAACTGAACAACGGAAGTGTCCGACTGATGATGATTGCCCGGTGCCAACGCGAGACAAGGCTCATATATCAAAATGGTCAAAGGGTCTGGTCTGGCACACACCTTGCCACACGGCAGACAACACGGTGTACGGGACAGGGACTGGGGGGACACAAGACAGCATAATAAGCTAATATCAATAGCGACAAATATTTAATTAAGCTTAAATGAGCCATCGGACAAGGTCAACAGCAGACAATTGCCTCGAGTTCAGCGGGATTCGTGACCTGGGCATTTTTATGAGCACCACCGTAGTAGTACTGCAGGCCAGGCTAGTATACATTACAATTGGCAAACAATTTATGGTAAGCGTGAAAAGGCATTTAGTGCCCACGCAAGCCGACCAAAAGTGAGCAATAGGTGAGCAGAAGGGAAATTTCACTCAAGACATTAAGAGCCCTAGCCCTGATGGATTTGTGGCAAAGCAATGAGAAATGTGTCAAGCAAATCGAAGAAACATTGGGAGAGACCCCTTCTAAACCCCTTCCTTTTAAATACTCGTTTTTTTTTACGATTAATTTATTGCCAATAATTTATAGACAATAATTTAAAAGCAACAAGAACAAACATTTACAAAAATTAAACATATTTCTGGACGTACTCGTACTTCGTATTCTATACCATTTCACCGGCTCCATCGTACTCACTCCACTCCCATAATTGTTGGGTAGTATAACTACATTTAATTTGTATTATTCGTTATATTATTGAAGGTCTCGCAACAGGGATAATAATTGCCATTCCCCCCATTCCCATTGCCATGGTTGGGCGAATTGGATGTGAACTGCAGCAAGATGATGAGATACGTGGTCAATGCGCCACTGATCTGTTAAGGAAGATTAAGTTAATTAATCAATAGAAATACATACTTAGTTGCATCCACTTACCGTAAAATACAAAGTTCTATCGATATTAAAGAGTCCAGCGGCTGTGAAGTTGATTTTCAAGTGCAGTAGCTGCATGGAAAATTGCTGTAGCTTCTCCTTGACCTCCGGACTTTTGGTTTTGTTCATCAACGAATGGACTATGCCCCCAGTTTTCTCGCTCTTCTTGATGGCCCGATTGCTGCCCTCCACAATCGAAATGATGGCAATCAAATAGAGAATCATTTGGCACGAGAAGAAAGTGACAAATTCCACCGTTTTGAATTTGCTTTCGCGCTTCGATTTGCCCAGCAGTGTCTCCAGCACATAGTACGCATCGAAAACAATGATCAGAAAGGCAATGGATATGATCGTCAGCAGTTGATAGGTGAAGTATTTGTTGGCCGTGGCGGCAGCTTCGCATATCAAGTGATGTATCTCCATGGATTCCTGTATTATCTCTGCCGGGTCCTTGGTCACAATTGTGTACATGGAAAAGGAGTCGAGACACTGCAGAGAACGTTGCTTCTGGGCCACTGCCTTCAGGCTGCGAGAGTCCCACTGATGGGAGAGGTTCTTCAGCACCTGCAAAGACAACAAAAGGAAATTGTTAGCGCATAAAGACTAAATTCAGAGCTATCTTAACCTTATGCAGAGCACTCAAGTAGATGTGCAGCTTGATCATCAAATTGCCTGCCAAAAAGCACACGGCACAGACAATGAAATGCGGCGAAAAATAACTTATAACTGCGGACATGGAGAATGTGGCCGCATCTCTCATGCTGATCATGAGAAAGCTGCCAGTGATGTAGGCCGTTGTAGTGCCAGCCATGAGCAGGACCAAGCGATTCATCCGCCGTGCTGCAGGTGCCTGGTGATGTGTTATCCCGACGCGCGGAAAGGACTCACGTTCCAGGCCATCGAATATGGCCAGTACGTGCAGCAGTTTGCGGCGCTTGATCAGGGATATGAGGAGTATGGCAATGATGCCAAACATTCCATTGACCTTCTGCAGGCCATCGATCACATTGGAGATCTCCGTCAGAAAGAAGTTCGACATCAGGGAGCGACGATCCAGGGTACTGTACACAAAGTTCGCAGCGTAGATGAGCATGCGAGAGATGATGTTGAGGTAGCCGAAGTAGGAGGCGCTGAGTCTGCTGTTGCCGGCGGATGTACTGGTCACATAGTAGGGCACAATGCCCAGCCAGAGTGCCAGCCAAAGGGTCAGCCGGTAGCAGGTGTAGACGTCGTGTGGAGGCGTCATGTTAACCAAACGATTGAACAGCCACATGGCGTATGAGTAACGTATGAGTGAGTACTCGGAGTGGCATCCGAGTTGGCCGAGTGGCACTCTAATCTCAATGAATAATGAGAGACTATTGAAATGGAATTCCAAATTGGAATTGATGGAGTGATTAGCTAATTAAATGAACGGCAGACAGTAAATTGTGTTAGTAAATTGTGTTAGTTTCGAACCTTATTCAATGCATCGAAGTGCTGCCACAGGCGATGGAGGAAGGCTCCGAACAGGATGACAGTGCTCAGCAGAAAGATCAGGGGAACATAGAACGCCACTGCGGCGGGATAGCTGGGTCTCACATCGTTGCGCAGCAGCATCCACGTGGAGCTGGCCAAGTAGGCCAACTGCACGGCGGACATCAGGAGGAGCTGCGAGTGTCTCAGCCTCATGATGGCCGGGTAATCGAAGGCCACACCCACATCCAGTAGGTGTCCATCAATGCGGGATATCAGATTGCAGAGATGGATCAGCAGGCGCACCCGAATGGTGCTGCACAGGAAGAGTATGGACATGCCTGTCATGCCAATGAATTTCTGCAGCGAGTCTCCGACCTGTGAGATCTCCGACTTGAAGAAGTACCCCACAATGCTCTGCTGCTGGATGAGTGCCCGGAGGAAGCAGTAGCTGAAGAAGCTCAACTGGAGCAGGGCATTCAGGTAGCCAATTTTACTCAGCTGGAACCTTCGTGCCCCCGCCGGACCCCTGAGTCGGAATGGCGTCAGACCCAGAATGTAGGTGCACAGCAGCAATGTCTGCTCCGAGCCGTGGGCATCTTTCGGCCTGAACAACTCCCGCCAAAATCCACTCATCGTAAGTGCAACGGAAAACTGTTGCCCATTCGGTGGACCCAAGTTCCTTTTATAGTTTCATCCTTAAGTTTAGTTCTCTGATTAGTTCTTGAAGTTTTCATGAGCCACACAAGCCCACAGCACAGACCCACGCCCCATGGACTAGATGGCTGGCTAACTGTTGTCTACTTTTCGCCGCTGACAGGTCAGGTAATGGAAACCCGTCCATCAGACACATCCAGCAAGTTTTTATTTAATGACAGCTAACACCCCTTCTTTTGTTGGCCACCGTTTATGAAATTATAAAGCGTCCATTTCGCCAACTAACTGGCGTTCATGGTTCATGGTCAACGTTCGTGCTAATTAAATTGATTAAATTGTATAGAAAACGCTTTAAGCAAGTGTAACTCGGTTTCCTGGCGATCAATTTGGGAACTATTAAATTGGTAGTGGAAGAGATTGTCTGAAGAGAATAGAAGAGGGAATGGTGGACTGGACTAAGCCTGAACTTTAACCAGTCTTTGGATGAAGGTTCCCCACAGCTATGAGGAGCCTGAGAACTGCTAACTGTCTTTGGCTGACGATTCTCCCTAGACATTATGTATGCAGAAACTAAACCAAACTAAAACGTAGTCCAGTATGAAGCTTACCTTATTTACCATCACCAGACGCATCTCCACCAAATACGTAATGCAACTGAAAATGGCAATGGCTATGGAGATGACTGTATGCTGAATGAGGAAGGTAAAGTGCAATGCTATGCTGGGGGCCATCCGCGAGGAGTACAGCACGGAGAAGGTGCCGCAGGCGAAGCAAAAGTTCACCATGAACATGGAGAACAGAATCATGTAGCTGAATCGAAGGACCTTGCTATACATGATCTTGATGCCAACAGTCTGCAGTTGCACGTCCATGGTGTGGAACTTCTGCAGGCAACGCTCCAGCCGGTGGTTGGGTATGATGGCCGTCAGATAGATGACAGTGACGCCAATAAAGCCGCTAACAATCTGCATCATGTCCCCGAAGTAGGTGATGCGGGAACGGAAGAAATAGCTGGCCACGGACTCGCAGTTGTTGAAGATCGTGAGGCTGTAGCAGACGGTGTAGATGGTTATGTGCATGATCCCGTTGACAAAGCCGAATATGGTCTTCTTGATGTCCTTGTGGCCTGTGGCACTGTCGCTGCTGATGTAGAAGGATGTGAGGCCGTGCCAGTAGGTCACATGGAAGAGTGGATGCAGGCACTCGTACAGCTGCTTGGCGGAGAGGAAACGACGCACGCGACGGCGCAACGGCTGGCAGAGGCCGCCGGACTCGACCTCTATTTCCACCGTATCCGTATCCTTGCCCACTTCCATGATTCGTGTCCGCTCCGTTTGAGCTTTGCCCGGCAACTGACGCCAGAGACCACAAATGATTTGCATTTTCACCAGGCGACAATGTCCCGCAACGCGTGGAAGCTTCTAGCCCAGGAAACTCTCTTATGAGGTGGGGCCCTATTGCCAGCAAGAAAAGTAAATAATTTTCCATTTTTATATATGTACTGTCTCGGTCTAGACAGCCGTTTCGACAAGCCAAGCTGCTTTCCGGTCCGACCATTACCCTATTAGCTTAAGCTGCTGCATTTTAATTAATGGCAATTTCCTCAGCGTCCTCAGGGGACATTTTTACCCTAGGGTATTCTCGAGGGGAAGTTTTTCCCGCGTGTCAACCTGCCGGGGATATTTTCCATTTGGATCAATGAATGACCAGAGACCAATAATGAAGTTCTCTCTGCTCTTTTATTTTGGTTCCCCTACGTTTATGGAGCCCCCTATCATAAGCCTAATGAGTTTTATGGTTTCCGTGAAATGTTCAAATGAATTTATGTCAATTGTTCCACAGGATATTGCCATGGCTATTGGGTCTGCGTGCGTGTGTGCGTGTGTGTCCGTTTTTGGTTGTCCTTTAATCAGGTGAGATTTCGGCCAGCTTAAAGAATGCCAACCGACTTGAGGGTATATCATAAATGACATGATTATGATGATAATGCTTTCCACTGGGTTCGTTGGCTGATTTAAATACGAGTACGAGTACGAGTACGAGTAATGCGTAGAAAAGTGAAACTTTAATGTTGCGAATGATTCCGAGAATACCCTTGAATTTGCATATCCGTTATGCTTAAAAAGGGTGAATCACAGAAAGGAAAAGCTGGGAATGACTACGAATATATGTAATGTAATTTTGTTGCATAATTTTTGCATTTTAAGAGATACAGGGATGAATTTCGATACGAAACGAAATCAACCCTGTTGCCAGCGAAATGTTAATCAGACAATATAACTATGATTTGTGTCTATTACTAACAGAAATATGAGTAAAATACAGAATATAGTACATATAGAATTATGTCTGTTCGATACGAGATACGATACATGACGATAAATTTATCGTTTTGTCTCAAGCTATTTCTGACTAGCTTCAGACTTGATTGGTTTTCAACTCTAATAGAACGTACTATAATCAAAGGGTTCTATCCACTTTCCTTCTTTGAAAATACTGTCATTTCTGAAAATAATTGTATTTTTTAATTAAAATGAGGAACTTTTCCATCCAGCCCTCGAGCTTGCCCGTCCAACGAGCACACAGCAGCTCCAGGCTTAAAGAAGACGACTCCCCAACGACGGCTTCCCAACGGCTGGACTACAGACGACGCTCGCGCCGCATTAAACAAAAGCCAAAGGCCAACCAGGAAAGGGGCGTGGCGTTCAATCCGCCGCCCATCAGCATGGAGGACCAAATGGCGGTGCTGGCCAACATGGAGGCCATTAACGAGCGGTTCCTGCGCAGCGAGGGTCTATTCACGTTCCAGCTGCTCCGCGAGAATCAATACCGATGCTCCAGGCAGGTGAGCCGCGAGAATGCGGAGATGGAGTGCGACTGCTTAGAGCGGCACAGATGCTGCGGATCGAGGTGCATCAACCGAATGCTGATGATCGAGTGTGGTCCGCTGTGCACCAACGGAGAGCGGTGCACGAACAAACGCTTCCAGCTGCACCAGTGCTGGCCCTGTCGCGTCTTCCGCACCGATATGAAGGGCTGTGGGATCACAGCCGAGCTGGAGATCCCGGCCGGAGAGTTCATCATGGAGTACGTGGGAGAGGTGCTCGACAGCGAGGAGTTCGAGCGACGCCAACATCGCTATGCAACGGAGCGCAACCGGAACTACTACTTCATGGCGCTGCGGGGCGAGGCCATCATCGATGCCACGATGCGGGGCAACCTGTCGCGGTTCATCAACCACAGCTGCGAACCGAATGCCGAGACCCAGAAGTGGACGGTCAACGGGGAGCTGAGGATCGGCGTTTTCAGCGTGAAGAGCATCAGCCCGGGGCAGGAGATCACCTTCGACTACCAGTACCAGCGGTACGGCAATACTGCCCAACGCTGCTACTGCGAGGCGGCCAACTGCCGCGGCTGGATCGGCAATGAGCCCGCATCAGACGAAGGCAAAACGTAAAAGGAGTCTTGCTCAGAATCAGAGTCAGTAATGCTCGAGGAACAGCTCCCCTGGCCCTGCGCTCGATCAGGAGTACAAATTGCCGAAAAGCGTGGATCCGTTGCCGCTTTCCTGGCACTGCAATCGGACGTACGAGGGGGACGTCTGCTACTACAATCTGCTGGACCGGAACGCATATCGCAGTGGCACCCGCCCACCGCCGAGCAGCGGCTCCAGACGCTGCAGCGCGCTGCTGTTGCTGGAGTAGAAGGACGTTGGATGAGTCCTCTAAAAATCAAAAACATACACAGAAGGAAAAAGGAAATTTCTTGGACTTAAAACATCATTCGAACAAGACAATGCAATGGCATTCCTATTCCAATCTAAAGGAAGTAACTCTCTATTAATCAAGCCACAAATTCACTTTCGCATTTACCCTTTACCAACATTAAAGACCGCCCAAAAGTAGGCAACACTTTTTGACCATAACACACTCACTCCTCTTCTCTTCTCTTCTCTTCATGACAAACTTAATCAAAAGACACGATCTATGAAGAGCAACAACCAGGTTAAACCAATATACATGCAAAGCACCCATGGTGTGTTTCCATGGATTTGCATAAATTAATTTTCACACTTGATTGGGGCATGAGCAATACAAAAAAAAAAAAAGTAAGGGGATGGCAAAAGCGACACGGACAGCCACGCTGTCTGTGTCTGCTGTCTGCAAGTGCTTTTTGCAGGTAAATATTTACCAGAGGCTCTTGCCCCCCGGTCACTCACCTGATTGATGATACTGAGGCGCCGCTCGAAACTGAAGGCAATCACGCAGAACAAGCAAATGGCAATGGAAACAACCGAATGTTGCAGAAAGAATGTCATGCAGACACAGAACGAGGGCGTCACATCGAGGGAGACGAGCAGCCGGAACACGCCCACAAAATACACACCCAAAATGAGGAGCTTGAAGACCAGCACCAGTATCGAATATCGAAAGATCCGCGAATACTTAACGCGCACTCCAATATTGGAGAAGTTCGTATCGAGGCTGTGAAGGATCGTCAGGGTTCCCAGCAGCTTGCAACGCTTCAGTATGGCCGATGTGTAGATCACAGCGCCGGCAATCAGGCCATTGAAGATCTGCAAACGATCGCCGATGGTGGAGATTTCGGTGCGAAAAAAGTAGCCGACAATGGACTCGCCCTGCCGCAACGATGAGATGTAACAGAAGCCGCACAAACAGATGTAGATGAAGATATTAAATACGCCAAAGCAGGACATCTTCAGATAGGATTCGCCCATCTTGCGACGGACCACATGGAACGGCGTTAGACCGTACAGGAAGGTGAGGAAGAACAGAGGACGTAGTGCCTCATAGACCTGCGACGAGATGAAATACTTGCGCACGCGACGCAACGCGGTGGACATGACTATCAGGAGAACAGCAAGGACTGTGCACAACCGTCTCGGTGAAAGTGTCAACGCAAACTGACTAGCAAAATGGATAACGATGTCCTACGAGGCGTACGCGCTGTGTCGAGAATAAAAACAAATGCCGGCAGCAGGCGGAAGTTATGCCCAGCCAGAAGCTCATTATGATGTTGCCTGGGATTTGCAACAACCAGTGGCATGGCAGTGGCAGTGGCAGTGGCAGGGGTAGGCAGCAACAAGTGCCCCTGTGTGAGTGTCCTTGTTGAAAGGGAAGATGGCCAAGGCGACGCCTTGAATTTTATTCATTTATTTGGCTAGAATGAAAGCTGCCAGCCAGCCAGCCAGCCCGCATGTGTGTGTTGTATGTCTCTCTGTCTCTCTGTCTGTGTACGCTTCGTGACGGGCAATTCATTATCTTCATTATCGTGTGACACTCGGGTAATCGCATATCTGGTCACACTTCAACTATCCACGAGTGTATACGTACTAGGGGGCTGCTGGCTAGAAAGTGGAAAGTGGGATGGGGGTGTTGGTGTTACTGGCCATTTGCATACCATAAGCTGATCAGATTTCTTCGTTCAATTTGCTTCACACAAGATTTCTCATGGGCATAAGTTAGTTGAGACTTCAGTCTGATTGACAGGTGGAATATGAAGATGGAACTGGCAATGGGATTGAGATGAGATGTAATTTGATTGTATAATACAAAAACATTCGTGCGACGCTCAGAGCCTATTGGAATTGATGGGGAAACTACATACACCAGTATTCTTTATATATGGATAGCAATGTGACTGAAATAAAAAAAGGAAAAATACAAAATGGAGCCTGAATGGGGATTGCAATTCGTGGAATAGTCTTGGATATTTTCTTCCATTTTGGGTGCTGTAAACGCTCACAAGCGCACTGCAAAAATGTGAATGTGTGCGTGCCTTACACTCTCTTTCCAATCAAACATTTGGCACAATTAGTCCAGTTACCATAATAACAGTCCTCATCATAATATAGTAGTAAGTACTCACCCTATGCAAATAGTTCAAGCGACGTTGAACCGTACGCGTGATTAAACAAAACAGAACAATTGTGATGGATACGGCGACGAGCTCGTAGACCAGGATGAAGGTCAGCTGCCAGGAGGCGCGCACCTCCATCTGGGCCAGGCACACCAGACAGGTGACAATTATGATGCTGTCCAGCAGTGCGACCAAGCTCAAGACCAAGGTGGCTATACCTAAGACCGCATTGAAATTGACAGGTTGGCGCAGGCGGTCCAGCCGTAGATCCACCTCCATCACAGTCTCGATGAATCGCTGCAGGTGTCGGCGCAGCAGCAGGGGCACAATGAAGATGAAGACGGCCGACATAATGCCACCAATGTCATGCATCCGTGTGCTGAACTGTGAGATCCGATTCCGCATGAAGTAGCCAATTAGGCTCTCGTTGTGGAGATTGATGTGCGTGTAGCAGTAGGCGAGCAGCAGCCACCGGGAGAGGGCGTTGACAAATCCGTACCAGGACTGCTGCATCGTGGCATCCCCCTGGGCGTTGCGAGTCACCACACACGGTGTAATGCCCAGCACATAGGCAATGGCAATCAGCATCTGGATGGCTCCGTAGTAGTCGCGGGCACTGAGCGCGTCGCGCACCCGCCGCCTGCAGACTCGATATGACTTCAAACCGTTGCGTATCATGGCTAAGCTCTGACTAAATGCCACTCCGCGGCATACTTTTGTGCGGCTTTATCTAATTTCAGCTGCCACTGGAGTGCTTCTCCCTATCGAAGATTAAAATGCATATCTCGGCGCTGTTGTTGTACGGCTGCCATGGCAACAGGTTTAATTTGTACCTCTTGAATGGCTGATGGAATCGTTACCGGGAAGAGGGGTGACATTATCGTAATTTGTTTCACCAATTACGGCGGATACTCGAGTGAAATTGGGCCTGAATGTATTCCTAATATGATGGGCTTAGTTCAAGGGGAATTAATAAAGTAAATTAATTTAAGAAGCTACAAGCATGGATATGATATTCAGAAAATCCTCATAATTATGTGTAATGTGTAACATAAGTATTAAAAAAACCACAGCCAGAGGATTAATGTTCCAGAGGTCACTTGTCCCTCAGACACATATCTATGTATCTATGTGTGTACTTCTGTGATTAGAAGCTACGAATGTTGATGACGAAATTGGTAACTTACTGGGCGATGAACTTTGGCACACCCTGATATCAGCACGCTTGTTTTTTTTTTGTGCATAAACAAATACCTAACTAATCCATTAAAAGGATTAGATCAACCCCAACGATGTTTACGAAAAGTCCTCTTTCCCCGTGGTGTTCAGTGTATGCTTTCGGCGCTGATAATAATCTTAGAAAGCAATAGAAAACCGTCATAAAGTATTACCAAATCCAAGCACAAGCCAACCAAGAAATAGGAACAGCAAGCGAGCAGCGCGACTGCTGCCATCATCTTCATCTGCTGCCAGAAAAATGAACAATGCAAACGGGATTGCATAATGGATCCCTCCGGCTTAATGAGCTCTCAGCTGCGTTGTGCTGTCGTTGTCTCCGACGTCGTGCCTGAATGCAACAAATCATGTGTCTGGCTCAGAATTTTTGTCGCACATTTTAGCTAACAACACATCGGCGGCATAGTAACTAAGCCACCACCAACAAAAGCCAGTCATAACACTAACAAAATGCAACCGCATTCGAAGAAGGTCTTGACGGGTCTCTTGAATGGAGATTTTTCTCCAGCTTGGTCTTCTGGGGTGGTTCGTTCCGAGCTTCTCGGTCGTTCTTCCATGACAATGGCGCCGCGCCGGCATTGAGCAAAAGTTGCTTTGGATTCAAGTCAACTTATTTGACTTTTTTTCACACGTGCAATGACATGGAAATTTCCTATTCACTAGAGTGGTTGCTGCAAAATAAACAAAAAGGTAAGCGATTTGCAAGTAAAATTAACGAATCGGTTTGCAGTAGATGCAAATGGAAGGGTTTTTAGTTAAATTGAAAACTGAAGTGAAGCTAAACTTGAACCTGAAATGGCCAAGAGATCGATACAAGAATTGGCTTATTAATAGAAATATAAAAATCATATGGATTCTATTGAGTGCAATTTCTGATGAGAAATTTTCAATCGACTTTAAAGCTGGGTCTGTGTACTCTTTATCATCATCACCTTTCATCAGCAAAGGGAATACAGAAAAATCGATACAAGAAAATTCGAAATCGAACATTATATACACTCGTAACATCTATCACAGCGTTAAATACATACTACACTTCGATATGGGTTTGTCAATCTGTGCTGAAAGTTCATCATAAAATAATATTAATATGTTGACTCGCAGCAAAGTGCATTCATTCAAATAAATAATATTGGTTCACCTAAATAAACTTTGTGCGAAAAATTAACATAACAAACAGAATAGTGAAAAAGTTCATAAAATGTTTCCCTTGACCAAAGTGAACCGAACCAAACCGAACCAGCCCGAACAACAATTATTTCAAACAATATTAGTTTTGATGCGAATTCATTTCATGGCCAACAGCGACGAAGGTTTTCCTCAATTGACAAGAAAACAAAATACCGCATATAGCCACAGCTAAATGAAATAAATAATTGTTTTAGGTGGAAAATATTTTGGATTAAACTCTGCCACTGGCCACAGACAGACGCGATCTCTGATGATGAAACCCCTGACATTTCGTCCACCACACAGTGTGGCGAAATAGTTTCTTTTTTTTTTTGTTTTGTATTTTGTATTGTTGATAGGTTACAGAACCCAAGGTGCCGACGCCACGTGATGCGGTGGCATAGAGTCAAAGTCAGTCACTGGGTTATGGTTACAGGCAGACATAGGCAGCCATCGACATCCACATACACATGCCCACATCCACCAAGAGAAGAAGAAGTTAATTAGCATCAGCGCCGTCTCGGACCAAGTTAATTATGTTATGTTATTGTAAGTTATCTTGGATTACGCTTTGTTACCGCACTTCTTTTCGAATGGCAACCGATTCTCCCATGTCATCATCTACCATTGGGTTGAAATGGAACTAAATGTATGAATTAAATGAAAAAAAAAGGGAAACAAATATCAGAGACATATTTGGAATAAAGAGACTAATTTTTCTACTACTGGTACTCTTGATCAAGTAGGTCAACCTATCCCCCTATGCTACATCGTATAGAGCAAACTTTGGCAATCTCTGAACCACCTTCCCCTCACCATTTCACTCGCAATCGACCCGATAAAGAGTTTTTATGTCAATCTAATGATGACTTTCCTTTGGCAATCGCCACGCAATGCGAATGTTGCATAACTCGACACAAAATAGCTGCTCAAACAATGAGCCCAATTGTAATTAAAAAGTTGTCTGCTTGATGGGAATGAGGCTCGCTGGCTGTGAGGCTGGGGAGAGAAGAGATGATAGATGTCAAGTGGCAGATTAAGCGACCCAATTATGAGTGTGTGACGGTGTGGGATGTTGCCAATTTTATGAAATATTGTATGTACATTGTACATATATGGAGAAGGAAAGTGAAATTGCAGGCAATGGAAAACTGAAATCCGAATGTGTAGCCCACACCAGACTTTAGCTCGAGCTCGAGGGCCATAAAATACGAGTCAAAAAATACAAAAAAAAAACAAATCTATGCTGCGTGCTGTATGTATGTATGGTGTATGCGTTATGCTGTATCCATGACGCCTAAGGTCTCTCGTACTTAACTTCATGGTAAACAGAGTTTTATTTTTATTGTTGCGCTGATGGGGAGACCCATTTTTAATTGTTGCTCGCCTCTGGGTAACCATTTGGAGTGCAGATCTAATTGCAGCCACAGCCATGGATATGCTTTTTGAATTGTCTGTCCATGTCCATGTCTATGTCTATTTTCATATTTTATGTTTTTTGACTTATCTGTGTGTATATCAGTGCGTGTTTGTATGTGTGTGTGTGCTTGGTGGCGGCCTTTTGCAAGTCAGCGTTCTTCAAGTTCAAGTTCGGGGCTCAATCATTATGGCGATCAAAGTTTGGCGCTGTTCACACTTAATGATTTCACCCATCTATAGTTTCGACTGATTTCAGCAGCTCGGATGCATAAATCACTTAAGCAAATGCGTTCAAAGTCATACCACAAACAGGTAAGATGGTTTGGATTTAAAGGAGCGATGTTTTAAATACCCTTCGGAATATTTACAGATTATTTCAAATAAAAAATAAATTAAAAAATCTTGGCAAAAGTAAAAAATCCATTGATGATTTTTTCATAATATTTATCGATTATTTTTGCTGTAATTTTCTCTGCATTACAACCCCCAATAGAAAAACACGATACCCTTATCAAGGGTATATGCACGGGTGTCCCAGCCAAATGTGAAGCGATTTTGAATCGATTTGAAGTTGTTGGCTGCCACTTCAGCTCACTTCTCGCCTGCTGGAAAATGCAATTAAATTTAATTTACTAAACGACCTCACAACGCCATCGGATGCTGACATGTTTCATGTTTTATGCGCGAGTGTCTATGTACATATGATATTTGAAATGCAATTTGAAGATGCGCTGGCGAAGTGCGCGTGCGAGTGCGTGAGAGGACATCTCCAACAGAATCAGAAGCTGATTCGCCTTGTAGGGGTGAACTTGAGCCCACTTGAGCATTCAAAGTGCATAACTAAACAGATTCCAATTTGGAATCGACATTAAGATAACAGCCAGCCTGCATTATTAAGCTTAAACAATTTTTTTATAACAAATTTTGATGTCTGTAAATTAAATTTTATTCCATTAAATGCCATGATCTTCAAATAATTATTTATAATCATATAATATTTAAAATATATATATATATATCATATAATATAATATCATTTAATATAATAATCATGATAATCATCACAATAAATTTATTTGTGCACAAAGATGATGATCTTTCACTTTCTTCAAGGACTTTCAACAAATATTACACTTTACTGTTCCAATTCGATATTTGTTTGTAACCTGACCTCCTTATATCAATAGTTGCCTCTGAAATTATAAACATGTTCAAAAGTATATTTTAGGCTGCGCTCCCCACGGAATAGACAACCCCTTCTCTCTTCTGTTTTTTCCCATTTCATTTATCATCGCTTTTCTATTTATTATTTTGCTTGCCTTTTATATTTTATTTATCTCTCTTTCACCCTTTTGGTTTGCTTCTTCAACATTTTTTGGCTAATGACGAGCAAATTGTGCCGGAAGAAATTTAAGCTTTATTGATTTTATTGACACCGTTTTTGCATCTTTTGTATCTCCAAATAATATCCAATTGTTACATAAAGGATAGCAGACTCGGGGCAAATTAAAATTAAATCAACTTTTAATGCATAATCATTTGTTTAAACCAAGCATATAACGGTCTTAAGTGATCGATGTCTTTTTTTTGCATTTATTTCTTTTATATTTTCGGCAAAGCCAAGCCAATACGAATGATTCAGGCAGCAAACTTGTCCAACGAACATGTTCGACACTGTTTGATGCACTTTTAACCATTCAACCAGCAGCAGCACTGACACAGTTAAGTGTGGCATGCAGTAAGTGGCTGCAACTGCAACTGCAATGCCAACTGCAGTTTCCGGCCCCCCCCCCCCCCCCCCCCCCCCCGGGCCCCCCCCCCCCCCCCCCCCCCCCCCCCCCCCCCCCCCCCCGCCTCTCTTTTCTTGTTACGGCCCCTCTTTTTGTTAGCTTAATGCTCTTAACTTGCAAGCAGTCTCAGCTCAGCGCCGCCCCTGCGTTTACCGTTTCTTTTCATACAGTATAAGATGGTATATGACACAGAAAGTAAGGTTTTGAGCTAGGATTTACTGACGAATGAAGCCGCCTATTCGGCAGCTAATCCCAGCTTAAAACCTCCAAATTTCGTATCATTAAATTGTAGTCGAAAAAAAGGTGTGTTTCAAAACTTTTTGGAAATAAAGAAAATTTAATTAAACGTTAAAAAATATCAGTATTATACACCTTACCTTATTTTTGTTATACCTTCCGAGCAAGCCCCCGCAAGTCTGTGTTGTTGGAAGCTACACCTTCGAACATCGAACCAATTCTCCAAGCTTTTATTTTTGTTATTTTTTCTTTACTTTGCTTTGTGCCGTTTTGTTTTTGTTGTTGTTGTTGTTATTGGGCTTGGGTTTGTTTTGCTTTGCTTTTGGCTTTGGCATTTGGGGGCTTGGGAACAGACTATAAACCGTGGCAAGATCGTCATTGCGTTCATTGGTAAAAGTGAAGCGTGCGCGTGCGGTTGCCTCAACTACTTTAAAACTGCAACAAAAGTTGGTCTCTCTGTGCTGTGTGCGAGCTCTGCGCTTTGTTTGTGTCGTTTGTTCCAATCGAGAAAGGTGATTATCACAGTTTATGTATCCTTTGAGGACAAGTGACTACTGACCAGTGAATGAAGTTTTTTTTGGGAAACTTTTTAACGTACAAATGTATTTTGATTCTGATCAGTTGGATGGTTTGTTTGTGTAATGTAATGGAAATTAAGGTGTGGAGTTTGTAAAATGGGTCACTGTTTGAGGTTTGCTGTTACTGTTATTGATTTTAGTAAATACACGAAAATACACTTCAGTATAAAGCTGTTATGATACTTTTTCCATTTTTAAGTGCCGTAGATCTATCTTCTTTCTGTCACTTGCTAAATTCTAGTAGTAATGCAAATTAGGACAGATTCGAGTATGTTTTAGAATTTCTTGTCTTAGTTTTGTGTACCACATTAACGCTATTCCAATCATATTTTAGACCTACCTCACTTTGTTCTGCTGTAATACTTACCCGTATTTTAAGGCCAAATAGCAAAGAATATTCACTTTTTGCACAAATCTGTCACAATAAATTCTGTCACTTTGAAGAACATTGCAAATAGTGTGAAAAACTTTGTCAGCTCACTCGGCAAATGATGAAGTGCCTTTTTTTGCCACATTTTGTTTGTATTATTTTGCGTGTCCCCATTTCGGGCAGCTTTTTAGACCGACACTCCCTGCACGCCCCCACCCCCATGCATTGAGGCAGAAGATTACGCAATATGTTTTCAGTGCAAATGAGTGGAAAATCTAATTTTCCAGCAGCATGCAAATTTTTCGGGTTGTAATTGCCAAAATGTCACGCTGCAGATTGTGGCAGCTGGGGCAGTGGCAGTGGCTGTGGCAGCGGCAGTGGCAGTAAGCTACTGCCTCTTGCTACTGTAGCAATTTTGAGGTCGTAAAACATTTAAGCAACATACCAATAATATTTTATGGCTTAGCTATAAACGAACTTGATAAGAGAAGCGTAGACAGGGCAGGCCCCCCCGGGAGATCCACCGTTTGACATTTTTACAGCTGCCGCTGGAAATAACCTCGAATGAATAATTATCTAAATAAGAGAGATAGTTTTTGAGGTTGACAGCCCAGGCAGGCCCCCGCTTAAGTATCCATACGAAAACCCATCTGTGGAGGAGTAGGATATCCAGCTCCTGCCTCTTCGAGTCTGCATACAAGACATTCCACAGTAGAAATCTCAAGTCACGATTCCGTCTCCAATTGACAACAAAATAATTTATCTCCACGGAATGCGGGAAAGTGCACAAAAAAAATATATATATCTTCGGGCTCCTCCTGTCACTCTCTCGGATGGATTCTGTTTAAAGGAAAGTTTTTATTTTTATTTTGGCACAAAGGGGCGTTTCTTCCCACTCTGCTTTGACTGTAATTTTGGTTCAATATGCGAGTATTTCTTTCTTGATTGTAGTTCATTTGGTTGGTTAACAAATTGTGTGACAAATTCCAGTCCTTCAGCAGTCATCATCATTATGCTGCTATGACAACGGGGGGAGATAGTAATAAAAGGTCTGCCCAATTTGTGTTTTGATGTGCAATGAAATTGGCATCCAAATTGTGGGAAGTTTTTGAATGCCTAGGGTGATGAGTGTTTCATAAACAGATACTTAAAAGATCGTTTTGGGTAATTTTGAGAGAGTCGAAAGTGTAGATTTTAGTGTTGAAGATTTGGGTATTCTTTTGAAAGCTTTACGATGTAAAGTTTTTCACTCTTCTTCAGTAAGTATTAGTTGCAAAGATTTAAATGCAAAATGCTAGTGCTAATGCTTATAATGTTGCTGATAAATGACCGAAAATTAGATGGAAACGCTTTGCATATATTTTTTCAAATTTTTCTTCATTCATTTCTTTGGCATAATCTATGAGGATTGAAATGTGGGAGGGTTTGAGGCTTTACTTTAAATTTTTCACACGCTCTCAGCGCTTTAGTATTTTTATATAAAAGCTATGAAATCTTTTTCTATCCAGATTCTTTGAATATTTAACAGCTCTCTTCAGTTCGTACCTATTCGTACCTGACCGTTCCGACAATTGACAAAATCCATTAGCACCTGCTTCAGCAGCGATGAAAGATGAAAGTGAATATCCCCCAGACACTGAGAAGCTTCCACCTGAGCCGCAGCTCCTACCTCTGCGGCATCTCTTTTTCTGCGACTCATCTCGCCATACAACTCGGACACCTTGTCAATATTTATCGATATGGCCTGCACATATAAATACATTTTTATGTCATGACCAAAAAACTGAACGCAAAAAACACCAGAGAGACCATTTTCACTATCATTTCAAGTTGCTTTGCTTCGAGTTGATGTTCATTGTTATGGTTTTTTGCTGGCTGCCTTTTAGCTTTTGCTCATCTGAGAAAAACCTGTAACCTGCGCAACCTGTAGCATGGTGGATGGCAGATATTTTGCTGTGGTGTCCAGTAAAAGTAACGCACAGCACTGCGCCTGACCACAAGCGGGGGCTCCTTCTCCTTCTGTCTGGTGTTAAACTTGGCCACCGTCGAACAGTTGACAGACTTTCTTCTACCGCCTGTCCAGTTTTTCTACATATTACTCTTTGAGCGCGACTTTTGTTTACTGTTGTTCAGCTGCTGCTGCTGCTGCTGCTGTTGCTGTGGCTGCTGCTTCTTGAAAGAAAACGATGGACCAGACCCGGCCAGACCTGGCCAATTCCAGACCCGACCAAGACCTGGCCAAGACCAGGCCAGACCAGACCCGACCAAGACCAGGCAATTAAAATGTCGCCTCCATTTCGCTGTTGCAGTTGCATGTATGCACATCCGCATGCAACTTTCTTAACGGTAGGTAGCCAGCGAGTCGAATGCTCGTACAGTGTCAGAGCCAGAGCATCCTGCTTGATTAGGGGGCACAACCCTTCTTCAGTTTAAATGAGGTCAAAATGGTGTTGCAGCAGCACACAATAAACACACAAACATTCTAATTAGCACCACAACAAACCTCTTGAACAGCATCAAAAGCAACTTATCAAGATATGTACATTGTATATACAAGTGTGTGGATACTTTGTTGTCTTGTTGGTTGTTGCAACAAGTCATCATTGTGATTGTTGTTGTTCTTGCTGTTGTTGTTGTTGTTGTGGCAGGTGCTGCTGCTGCTGCGGCTTGGCAAATCCGTCTTCTTTATAATTACTGTCATCGCACGGTGCAGTTGTGTTTAAAAAAAGAAAAACAGAAACAGAAACTCGTCTTGGCTTGGCTTGGCTCTTCGCCGTTCTACAAACAAGACGCGATGCCGAAGCTCCAACTGCAACTGCAGCACGGTTCCCCAGAGATTTCTCTAGAGAAATGTGCTTGAATGCGATTTTATCGATTGATTTCTAATTAGCAGGAAATGCCATAAACAAATCGGGGTAGTTAAAAGTGAATCAAAGATGTTTGCAGCTAAAACTTCACTTTGATTTTCGAGTTGCAAGAAAGATACAAACAAAGTTGGGTGGAAAAGCTTTTAAGCGCCTTGTAAACTTGGAACAACCCTTTGGACTTTTTCTTTGTAATATTTTTGAGGCAACAATTATGCAGCTGAATGTAACTTGGACTCTTCCCCCCTAATTTTGCGATTATTATGATTATTTTAGATAATAAATATTTATTATTTTCGATAATAAATATCTGCAAACGTTAATTAAATATTTTAAAGTGAATTTCGATTGGTGCAATTTACTGGTACTGGTTTTTGCCTAATCCTATAACATAAAAATATCTTTTGGAGTCTTCTTAAACACCTGTTCCCCTCTAAGCCTCTAATGACAATTTTTCACGAATTTTACTTCATCTGAAGTAATGCTTCAGGCGCGTGATACATAAATAAAAAATTTGTTTGCCTTAGAAGAAGATGAAAAAAAACGGCAACTGGCCGTAAAAAAAACCAGTTGGTCTAAGGCTGTAAAATGTAATGTATAAGACGGAGATTAATTGCCCATGTATGGGGTGTATGGAATGGAATGGAAACTTGCGGTGGGGAGGGGAGGGGGCACTATGTTCGGCAGATGCAGCCACGAAGCCGTGCCACAAGTGGCTTGGAATTAATTATTTAACACAGACTGACTGAGACACTGGCTGTGTCTCGGTATAGGAATGTTACGCAGATGTGCTCACGACACTACATAGTGCTTGGAAAAACATTATTTCAAAGATTTCAGCTTCTCTTTACACAGATTTCAGCTTCCCTCTTCTTTTGGTATGCTGCAGTTATTTTGTAATATTTATTTGGCTATTTGAAGGTTGGTTTTTGCACGCCGAACAAGTGAGTTATATAAAAGCAATCAAAATTTTAAGAGCCTAAGCCATCATTAGTCTTATAGTTCATATGTACATATGTACGTACATCTCCCACAAGCCAAGCAAAAAAAGACACCTAAATGCCTTTCTCCAGCTACAAGTGTCTCCCATTGAAATGTTCAATAAACCAAATATTGCGTAACAAAAGAAAACAAAGCAACAAAAAGTACCCAAAAAAAAAAAGGTAAAGCACAAACAAAATGGGACAAAAATGAGAGCTACTTATAAGCTGAAGAGACTCCACAAAAAAGTGGAGACAATTGGTTCGGAAATATTTCTCTGGAGCTGCCAATGCCCTTACCCACGACAATTAGTCGGAAGACAAGACCAAAACAACAAAAAAACAACTGAATCGTGTGCTCATACCCATATGTACGTATAATATATTTTCTTGTATAGGAAATGAGTTTATGAAGCAACGGAAATTCAAATTACAAAATTTACAATCCGTGAAAAGGCAAAAACAAAAGACATGCAATTGCGCGTGGCCAAAATCCAAGGCAAAATCAAAAGCCAAACTCAAAGTATTTTTGGACTGTTATCAGCCGGAAGAGTTTCGTATATTGGCCAGAGACCAGAGACCCTTCAGCCGTCATGTGTAATGCATGGCCATGGATCCCTCGAGGCCCCCAACGAACTCTTACAGCTTTCTCCATTTCGTATTGGTATGCACAAGACAAACCTCGGACTTCAGAGTTGAGCTAGAAACGAACGAGTACAGAAGAAGCATGCATACATACATTTGCAAAGATGGGTTGTTGGTTCCCGAGTTGGGCTGTCTAGTGTATGGGGTTTTTCTTGCTGTTGGTCAAGGTTTTGGGTAAGGTCAGTCACACCTGTCACATAATAAGAAGGTCAGGGAATGTTCGAAAAAGTGTTTAAAGGGTTTTAGAATGGAAGCGGACTTGTTTGAGAACATTTGTGACTAACAAATGTGTAAATACTTGAAAGTAAAAGATAATCCTAAACTTTCATTCGAAATGGTTCATCGTTGTCTCAAGTCGTTCACTTTTTTCTATATGAAAGCTCTCTCCATTGGAAAATTCTTTTCCGATTGGCCAGCTTTTACCTTGCAGCTGGATTGTCTCCCATCGTCTGCAGTCAACTGAATCGCTTAGTTAGTCGAAGATAATTAAATATCTTTTGTGTGGCTGTTAGACAAAACATAGCACGCGTTTCCCAGGAGACTCGGAATGATCCGATGATGCGGATTCCAATGCGGATCTGATTGCAAAGGTTGGGCTTAGACTTTATATAAGACCTGCTCGTTAACTTCATGTAATTTTGATGAGTGAGTGATAAAGAGAACCAGTTGCCCCGCGCCAATGGAACATACAAACAATTTGCATACAATTTTCATGTTTTCTATGCAGAAGAATTAAACAATAAAGAGATTTGCATAGGAGGTGGGGCTAAGTGAGGACTCGCTTTTGGAGAGCAGCGAGACAGTTGCTAGGTGAAACTTTGTTGATGGGGGAACAATTCTCACGTTACGAAATAGAAGCAAGGTTGAAGGCCTACGAGTATCTGTCCCGCAATTCCAATTCCAATTCCAAATTCCTAGTTCTCAAACGGAAAACTACTCAATTAGATCAAATGGAATCCAATTGCGCAAAATGACAATTGTGTGCGACAAATTCCATACCACACACAAAACACACAGTCAAAATTGATCAAAATCGATGCAAAACATTTCCAATCACTGATTTCGCACAAAAACCCCTCCCGCTGGGAGCCATCCAAGCGGAAATTCTGTGGGTTGGGCTCCGACCCGACCCGAACCCGCACACACACCATCTATCTATCTCATCTGAAATCTGATTTGAAAACAATTTTGGACCGCAGCTAATCGCCTGTACACTTGTCTCTTTGCAGTTGCCCTGAGAAGATGTCTGTGCTGCGGACGCTGCTGCTGCTGGCACTGAGCGCCACCATGGCGCTGGCCCAGCGCCGCTTGGCTCTGCCCGATCCCCGAAGCTGTGCAAACCGGGTGCGCCATGCCTCCTACCGGGATGCCCGCGGTGTTTCGCACTCGTACTTCTTCAGCTGGGAGCATGCACCGACGCGCAGCCTGGAGGTGGACTGGCTGGATGCGAGAAATATTTGCCGTCGGCACTGCATGGACGCCGTGTCCCTGGAGACGCCGCAGGAGAATGACTTTGTGAAGCAGCGCATATCCCGGGGCAATGTGCGGTATATCTGGACGTCGGGCAGGAAGTGCAACTTTGCCGGCTGCGACAGGCCCGATCTGCAGCCACCGAACGAGAACGGCTGGTTCTGGTCCGGTTCGGGCGGCAAGATCGGACCCACCTCGCAGCGCAACACTGGCGACTGGTCGCCGACGGGAGGCTACAACCAGCCCCAGCCCGACAATCGGGAGGCTGCCCAAGGCAACGACGAGAGCTGCCTCTCCATCTTGAATAACTTCTATAACGATGGCATCAAGTGGCACGACGTGGCCTGCCACCACATCAAGCCCTTCGTCTGCGAGGACTCCGATGAGCTGCTGAACTTTGTCCGCTCCCGGAATCCCAATGCCCGCTTGTAATTCTACTCGTAATTCTAATGCTAAACTTAAACAAACAAAAAAACAAAAATTAAGATGAAATTAAATATTTATGTAGCCTTAGACGGAACATTGATTGGTTGATTGATTGATTCATGGACTCATTGACTGTTCAATCCAATACTGATGCCTTCCACGCGCTTTTGGCCAATTCTGTTAACATTTTTTGTGTGGTTTTGTTCGCAGCGAAAATTTTAAGATCAAAATTTGAATAACATTTCCGTGTCGATCCGCGCAAGAAAAACAAAATTGTTAAATAATTTTAAAAAATTGTTAATAAATACAAATTGAACCCATAAAAACCCACCAAATGGTTACATCTTCTATTTACTGCTTATATTTATGTTTACTAAGGACCTAATTAACTCTACAATCTGGTAGTAGAAGAGTTGGGTGTTTCCGAATGTATGTAGCATGTTTTTTTTGTTTGATTATTGAAACCATACTCCCTAATAATTAATCAACATTTATTTAAAATCGAGTAGGAAAATTATTGTGTAGCAAAAACCCCACATTTCTATTTGTTGTAGCATCGTTTTAGGCTTTGGATCCGAAGCAGCATTAAATATCAATACAAAATATTAATAACAAATACGTAATTATACATATGTTATGTTCCAATGTTAATTCTTGCACTTCGCTTATTTACACTTTGGAATTTACATTTTTTTCGCTTTTATTCCGAAATACTTAGAATATTAGAATATGTTTACATCTTTCCTCTATTGTTTTTGTTTGTATTCCAGCAACTCACTCTCGCTCTCTCTTTCGCTTCTCACACCAACACTAACCGTTATATATCGCTTTCCTCTGCCAGACGGCGCAGACTGGACGAAGTGATAGGAAGAAGCTAAATAGCGCATCCACTGCAAATTTATTTGTTCATTCTGGCTATTCCGGTCTGATTCAGATTCAGCCTCTACGGTCATTCCCTATGATTCTGCATATTCTGGTTTCTCGTATATTAAAAATTGCTGATGCCACGAGACTAACAGGAGTCTGCACACAAAATTTGGTTGCTCTAGCTCTTATAGTCTCTGAGAATTAGGCGTAAGACAAGACGGACGCACAAACTGACAGAATATACTTTATTAGGTCGGAGATTGTTCCTTCTGGGTGTTAATTTCATCCACACCCACCACAAAACTAATATATCCCTAGACTCTTCGAGTACCGGGTATAATATGGAATTTTAATGACATGAGTGGACATGAATTCGACTTAATCCAAATATGGATTCAGTCAGATTCACTTAAACAGTCAAATATGGTAAGGTTAGAGGTAAGAAGCACAGCTTACCTTAATCTTTACCTTCCGATGAGAAGATAAAGAAAAACAAAATATTATTAGGTTTGCATCGTATTTCATGTCAAATAAACAAAATTTAAGCGATTACATTCTCGTTTTCCCCTTTAACGAAACGAAGCGAAGCCATCACTGCTCTTCAGTAGCCTTTAAGATTGGTGATAGAACGTATGGTCCTAAGATTTTGTAAATAGGATAACTGTATAGTGCGATCCTCCTAATTCCCATAGATTGGCTGATATTTTCCTTTTGGTTTTCTTGCAGAAGATAGACAACATGGAAACTAGCAGCGAGGAGGAGGACTTCTACACCAGCAGCAGTGAGTCTGTCAGGAGCGAGGCTGTCGATTCCATATTGATCCCAGGGAATGCCTCCACCAACGAGGCGTTGCCTTTGGAGGCGGAGAACATGGATGTACACATACTCTTTGATGAGGTCCCTCTTGATTTGACGACCCGCAACTCGCGGGCTGCCTCTCTGGCCAACTTGGCTTCTGCTCGGGCTGCCTCTAATAGTGCTGACGAACATGCCACCACCCAGCCCCAGTCTGGAGCCAGAAATACGTCCTCCTACGTCCAATATCTGGTGGACAAATTTTCAAACTACTCTGTAGTTACCATGAATTGTGTAGAGTTTGAGATAAACAAAGTGCTCTTCAGGGCTGATATGGGAACGTACGAAAGCGCACCGTAAAAAAGAAGCCAAAGAAAAATCAGCTTGGGATACACCATATAATGTATAAATATCCACTTACTTTTAAGACTAATCCAATTCGTTCAGTTGTGGATAATACACACCATTTCGAACAAAACAAATATTGATCTCGAACCAAAACCAATACGTTTTAAACATATTATGTTCATTCGATTTCCTATGAAATATTGTACTATAAAATTTACTTTTAATTCTACCCATGATAATAAGAAACAATTTGATTGTAAACATTTAATGCATATATTTTTATTTAGTTCATTATAGTTATATTTCACTAGAAAATGCATGTAAATATATATCCATATATCATTAAATAGTTATTTCCTTTAACTGAATACTTTGGTAAGTTCTGTTGCTTGTTGGAACTTATTTGTCTAGTTATACATTTACGTTTAGGAATAATTAAATTATTAAACAATTTGTTAGCCATTTAGAGATTTCAAGAAGACACAAAGTTAGCAGATTTCATCTAATAAAGTAGCTGATTCAGGTTACACTATAAAGTATTTATGTATGCATGGTACATATATTCAATAGCCGATTTCACATTCAAATAATTTTAATTAAAATAATAATATACAGTTCTAAAGCTAAGTCATAATGTCATACAAAAATATACAAATATATTATATAAATTCCAAATGAATATGGTACAATTAAAATCCAAACAAAAATCATAGGGATTTACGATCTTAGTCACTTAAAAATTGAGATACAGAAATTAACAAGTGTTTACAATAGGATATTCAATCGGTTATGAATTATGTATAGAGTTCTGTGTGTGTATGTGGGGATGGTGATGGTGGTGGTGGTGGTGGTGGGTGGTGTTGGTATTTTGCTCGACAAAATACAATCCTAAAAAAAGGTAAAATTAGATACAAATTAATACAGTGATAGGAAGACCTTCGATGAGGGGTAACAGAATGGCAATTGGTAGGTATTAGTAATTTCCAATAAAGCTTACACTTAAATTCGAATCGTGTTATTTGCATACAGCCAATAGATGGTTAGATGGTTAGATGGATAGACTTTCCCTTTGCAGGATGTTAGTTGGCATGCGCTTGTAAACCCAAATTTTTGCTTTACCTGCCACAAGAAAGTTTCAATTTCAACAACAACATCAAACAAAGGAACACCAAACAAAGTTTAAGGGCTACGATTGCGCTGTGGTTACGCTCTAGGGTAACGAACCGCCTTAACGCTCTACGCTCTCTACGAATATTATCTCTGTATATGTGTGTTTTTAGTAGCGGTGCGTGTACTGTTTGTTTTGGGTTTTGATTTTGAGTAACTTATGCAGTACTTGAGTTATGTGAGGCGCCACTGATCGCGTTGAACAAAGCCATGCTGTTGCGCTGATTAATGCTTTCGGCATCTTCGCTAAGCGGCTGGAAGGACTCGTCGTCGAGCAACTCACTAAGCGCCAGACACAGTTTCTCGTAGTTCTCCTTCAGCACATGATGGTACTCCTTCTGATCGGCACTGATCATGCGCTCGTTCACGCACAAAGCCTTGTGGCAGACGCCAATGAAGTCGCTGCAAAAAGGGCGGGAAATTAAGCTCCATTTATAATATGCACCACACATGAACATGGATAATTTGGAAAGCATACCGAAAAACATCCTTTAGGTCACCAACGCGGTCGATGGAAAAGTTATTGATCACCTTGGCATCCAGGAAGGCATGTGCATAGGCCAGGGGACCGGCATTTACCGTCACCGCGACGCTGCCCTGCAGGCGCAGCTGCAACTTCTTCACATCGGCTGGCGGCATGATAATCTCCTCCAGCTCTGAAACCTTGGATTGCATCTCATCGATGGCCACTTCGATGGGACTCAGTTCGATGATCTCGCGCGACTTAACGGGAATACGCTTCAGCACATAGGGGAACGAGTATGTAGCTGAGGAAAAGACAAAAAAACAAAAGGTTACAAGATTGAATCAATTCGAAAAGTTCATTCTTTTGGTGGTTCGCTCACTCTCTATGACGGTCTTGCGTTTCCATTGCTCCTCAACGCTGCCACGTGCTGCGCCCGACTTGGTGAACGGTGTCTCGTACATGAAGGTGTTCACATCATGATTCTGCTCAAATTCATTGAGACGCTGATCGAGCTCCGTTTTGGTAAAGAATGGTATCACATGGGTGACCTGTATGAAGGCCAACTTGGTATCCAATTCATCGACTTTAACCTAAAAAAAAAAAGCAAACGGGCAAATCAATCAATCGTCAAACGTTTATCCCAAAAACAAAAAGTTTCACCCAAGTTATCCTTGAAAATTATGATATGAATATCAAATGAATTGCGAGTTCATTCCCAGCAACAAATCCACAACAGAATCTGTACTGAACTCTATTAAATTGTGTGTTACTTTTAATATTTGAATAGTATACATTCTTTGAAATTACTAACGCAAAACGTAGCCAACTAACCTTTTTTTAAGCACAAAATTCCACAAGAATAAACGACAGACAATGGACGAGGGTTTATGGCAGCGGACACAGGCCCTGAATCTCTATACATTCGGGCAGGCATTGCAGAACGAGGATAGCCTCACCCAGAGTCAGGGCGAGTCTTCATTGAACCCCGGGGCAAAGGAGTTTGTGCCATCGTTCAAGAGCACCAAACTGAAGGATGTAAAGGAATTTGTACCCATGTGCAAGAGCGGAACGGCGAAGGAGTTTCTTCCCTCATCTAAGAACACAGAGGTGAAGGAATTTTTTCCCTCATTGAACAACACAGAGGTGAAGGAATTTGTTCCCTCGTATAAGCACTTGGAAGCGAAGGAGTTTGTGCCCCCGCATCCAAAAGCGAAGGAATTTCTGCCCTCGTATCCAGAAGCGAAGAAGTTTGTGTCCTCGTATCCAGAATTTAAGGATTGTGTGCCCTCGTATAAGCAAAAGTCCGAGGAGAAGAATACAGCGTCCACATCGACACAAAGATTGTCGCATGGGGAGGCAAGTGGCGATGCAAAGAGTTCGCAACGCCGCGAGGGTACTACCGATGGCAAGATATCGCAACGCGATATACAGGATATCTTTATACAGCGGCAGATCTTTGAGTTCCTCACCGAGCTGGGTGACGAACAGATGCCCCTGGACACCATCGTTGTGGCTCTCTTGCCCAATGGCCAGGGACTCGGTGTAAATTTTACGACCAAAGAGTATGTCGGTGGCAAGAATCTGTTGGACGAGGCCTTGTGCAGGAACACTTGCCTCACTCTGCATGTCAACGACCCCGATGAGTTGGCCAGCAAGCCGGAGAATGTGCTGGTTAATCAGTTTCTCATTCGCGTGAACGATCAGCTAAGCGAAAAGTTGGAGCACACCAATGCCGTGGTGGCGCCCAAGGGTCGCATGAACAGGAATCGCAGCTACACGGAGCTGGAGATCGAGCAGCAGATCGAGGGCATCAAGGTGTTCGACAACTTCTTCAACTACACCGAGTCGATGCGCACCCAGGAGAGGGTCACCCAAAAGGCCTTCAAGGAGCTGTTCCACAGTCTGGGAATGATCGCCCAGAGAAGCTGTGCAACCACGCCAGTTGAGAGTCCCCGCAAATCGAGTCTGCCCTTTCCGAAAGCCACCAAAATCGATGAAGATGAGGAGGAGGTAGAGGTGGATGTGGATGTGGAGAAAGTGGAGGAGGTAGAGGCGGAGGAGTTCTTTTCCTCTTGCAACGATTCCGAGTCTGAGGGCGATGACATCACACTTCGCGGCAAGCAACTGGAAACGGATCTACGCAAGTACATGAGGGACAAGCTCTATCGCTTTGAGGATGACAATGGCCCTCAGCTGGTGAACCAACTCAGCGATGCCGATCTGCAAGAGATGATGCCGAACAACTTCGAACAAAGTGGACCGCCATCCACGCCAGCCATATCCCAGACGTTGGCCTACAAGTGCCCCAAGACCACACAAAAGTGTGTCATGCATTCAACGCTGATGACACCAACGGCGGCAGCACCTCGCAACATTCCTCGCCCCAACCAGAAGCAAAGGGTGTCCGTGCCCTCACTCAGTCAGAAAGGCCGGCATGGCGTCGCCACAGGCAGCAACACATCTGCGGTGACTGCCAAGAAGCTGCAGCCAGAGCGCCCGGCACAGTTCATTGCCACAGGTGTGCGCACCAAAACGAATCAGCGCCTTGCCAAAATGGGAGCAGCTGGACATGCTCAGCATTCCAGCAGCATGGCAGCTGCGGCTATGGCCGTTCGTATGGTCAAGACCAGTTCCAGTGGCAGGGCTGCTACGGTTACACAGAAGCAGCAATTGAATCTCGCGTAAGTCTCCAGGTTCAGGTATTGGTTCAGGTTCTTCCTTTAACATTACTTCCTCCTTAAAACAGCAGCAAGTCGACAGGTACTGAAATTTCCAGCAATCGTGGAGGAGTGACTGCTGCCACGAAGCCAAAAAATAACACTCAAGGGGGCTCTAAGAAGATGCTGCCACGTAGCACAAATGCCTCGTTGATGCGTCAGCAAGAGGTCAAGCGGGTAAGTGGCTCAAAGAAAAAGTTTGCTGATACTTCAAGGGATAATTCGACTGACTGTCCGTTGTTCTATCCACAGCGCCTGAGTCTTATGCACGGCGACAGTGATCCCGATTTGCTCTACAACGAGTACCTCTTCAAGTAATTATTTTGGCATTAAATGCAATGGACGTTACGTTTATGTTACTAATATTGTGGTTCAAATACAAGTGTTTAATGCGTAGACTACAACCGGCGATATCCTGGACACATTACACAATTGGACTATGGCCCAATTGAGGGCTCTTCCAGGGTTGCAGGCAAAGTTGCACCGCGGTGTCTTGTAGATAAGACGCACCCCGATTTTATCTTGTGAGGTCTTTCATAGCTACACAGATATTTAGTAGATGATCCATCAATTCCTAGCATTTTTTCCATTCAGTTCTTTATAAATTTAAAGCTAAGCAATGGGCGACAGCAGGAAAGAACAAAGGTGCCTCTGCCCTGGCAGTAGGTTCCACAGCTGGCGGGCAAGAAGTACCAGCTGCCAGTAGCAAGAAGTGCCCTTGCTGGCAGTTGAACTTCCCCCAGGCGCCTAGAACGCCTCAGAAGCAAGAGTAGAAGCATTTACCAGATGTTTATCCTTCTTTAAATCCTCCTCCTCGCCATTCTCGATCTTCAAAAGAACCTCTCGATTATGATGGCACTCACCGGCGAAGAATCCATGATTAGCTTGACAACATCCGCCCCAAATTTCTCCTGATATTGCTTGGCCAGGCGCTCGGAGATCTCGCTCAGCGAAGTGAGCTTGGGCTCCTTGTACACATACTCAATGGCATGATCCTCCTCAAAGTAAATCTGAAAGGAAAAGCATCCATTAGAGAGGTAATTCCTTCTATTTCCTTGGTAACCTCACCATTCCATAGAAGACAACCCTATAGAAGCGTCCCAGCATGCGCTTGCCGGACCGATTGACCTCCACAATCTTGCTGTAAGCCTGCGCCAAATGCTCGTAACAGTTGGAGAGCTCGATGAAGTCGCGGGCCCTCTCGTGGATGGGCAGAATGAGTTTGTACAGATCGCCGAGGCACTCGAAACGCTCGGCACGATCTAGCAGATCGGCGCACTGCTTTAGCTGTTCGAGCAGCATGTATTCGGTGTACTGCGAGTCCTGGGCCCCAGCATCCAGCTTGAGACCCTGCTCATCCAGCGGTATGTTGCGTGATATCTTGCCAAAGGACGCCGAGGACCAGCTGAGACTGGAGCAGGCGGTGCCACGCAGGCGCAGATACTCGCACATGAGGGCAGCGATGTGCAGATGACAGCAGGCGGCCTCCGAGAGATTGCCGTTCTGCTCGTGATTGCGGGCCATGGTGACCAGCCAGGTGTGCCGCAGCTCGGGTGTGGATGCGTACGAGTTGGCCAGCGAATACTGCAGCTCGAGCAGCCGCTCGGGGTCCATGTGATGGGCCTGCATCTGGGCGGTGGCCATGAGGACAGTGCGCACGCGACGCGTTAGATCCTTCACCTCCATGGGGAAGCCGGTGCCCTTCATGGCCTTGTCGCTGTTGGCATAGCTATTGATGATCGAAAGGCTCTCCTGGAATCGGGCATTGTTCAGCCCAATCACATTGCCAATCATCTGCGACACCGAGATGATGACCTGCAGGTGGACGCGGGTCAGGGCCTTGCGACCGCTAAACTCGAAATTGCTGCGCATCAGCAGATACAGGACAGCGCAGGATTCGTGTCGGATCTCCACCAGGCGACTGTCGCAGGCCTTCAGCAGCTCGTACACCATCTGGCCGCACAGCATGGCATTGCCCTTGAACAGGGCCACCGAATAGTTGTTGATGAACGCGCGCAGGGCGGCAAACACATGCTTGGAGAGCCTCTCCGACTGCCCCAGCTGCAGGAAGCGCAGATATACCCTCGCCAGCTTGCGCAGCACCAGGCTGTCGGTCAGCAGCTGACGGAACTGCAGGACATACATGCCCAGGCAGTCGAGTATGATCATGCCCACCTCTGTGGCCAGATTTGATTCGTAGAGCGCCAGCTGTGTCCTGGCCATGTCCTCCAGCAGATGTTCTCTTGGCTGATTTAAAGTGCCACTGATCGGCTGCTGCTGCTGTTGCTGCTCCTGCTGATGCCCGTTATCCAGCCCTGTGGGTGGCGTAGTCCTCGCGGGCAGCGTGTGCGCCTTCGTGGCACGCATCTGACGCGAGTCCGGCGTTAGCAGCACATTCTTCTTGCCCACATAGCGGAATTGCTGCAGCGAGAGATCGAGTATGGCCAGGAACTGCAGGGTCTCCGTTTCGTTGCAGTTCTGCCACCAGGCCACCATCTGATCCTGTGACAAGTGCTTCACAATGAAGAGGAATCCCAAGAGCAGATCCCTGCTCTCCGCAACACTGAACTTGTCACATCGCGACAAGATCTGGGCATGAGTGAAGCTCACGGAACGATTGTGACCATTGCGCAGGGCCACATCTGTCTCCCCGTTGGTGTACGCCCCAATGGTGGTGGTGTCCTGCGAGTGCTATACAAAACGAAAAACATAATTATAGCTGTCCGGCTGCATCATTTGTGGTGGCTTCCACTTACCCCTGAATCCGTGTTCGAATTGAGGGATAGATTCGATATCCCATTGCTTATGGGCTGTCCCGCAATGGCGGCCAGAAAGTTGTTCTCCTTCATGTGCACCGAGGTGCGGCACGGACTCAGCTGATCATTGTGCAGTGTCAAACGATTCTTCGAGCGCGGCGTGGACGTCAACGAGCCAAATGTCGAGGAATCCTTGCTGAAAACATAGCTGCTCGAGCAGCTCAGACGCTTGGTGTACGAGGCGGAGTCCACATAGTGGTGGCCATTGGGAGTGGTCGCTCCCGCCGTCTCGGACAAGTCATCTATGCGATGCAGATTGTCCATAACTATGCCCAGCCATGGCACGTACAGCAGAGCGATGCGGGAGAGTTGTCCGCGCTGCTGGTAGCGTCCGTCCAGCTCGTGTTTGGCCAGCAGATCCTTGAAGATGGCCAGGGCATGCCGCCGCACATGGCCCACCTCGTTGAGGCTGCTCTTCAGCTCCTGGAGCAGCAGACCCGAGAGGAAATGCTGACGACAGAACTCCTCGGAGAGCGTAAAGTGTTGCATCATCTCGGGCGGACGATTCTTTGGATTCAACACAAAGGGCAGATTGAGCGGCACATAGTGCTCGTGCTGGCAAATCTCCTGCAGAAAGTTGAACTTGTATTCGTGCAGCACCCGTGGATTGCCAGGCGAAAACTCCTCCATGTAGCATCGTATCAAACGATAGACAAATCCCCGGTCCATGTAGCTGAGACACTGCCGCACAAAGCGAGCCAGCGAGCGATTCAGCAGCTGTGTCTCCTCACCCAAGTCATCGTAGCGCGTCGTGATGTATATGATCAGCACCTTGATCAGCTGCTCCACCCGGTCCGCATACTCCTTGGGAAAGCGTTCGTTGCGCAGCATTCGAATCCTGCCGGTTGCCAGCAGATGCTGGGCCATGCTCTTCACAATCAAATCGAAAAAGATGGCCGAATAGCGCATGAACTTGTTGACAATCAGAAAATCGGTATTCTTGGGATTCAGCAGATACGGCAAGTGCCTGCACAGCTCGCCATGCACTGTCCTCAGGCGTGCCGTCTGCTGGCTGTAGTAGGGCGCATGGAACACATACTTCACATACGAGGCCAGCAGATCGGGCCGCTTCGCATCGAAGCTTATCAAGTGGATGATGTTCGTCAGCAGACGTATCACATTCAGGCCAATCTCCTCGGACTGCGTGTGCACCAGCAGCGTAAACAGTTCGTTCAGGAGCGTCGGCAAGTAGCTGATCAGCGAACGCATATCAATGGCATGCGCTGCCTTGAGTATCTTGCAGGTCTCCGTTTCCGCTGGCAGTGCGCCCGTCTTTCCACCCTCCAGCAGACGCTCGCAGTGCGCAAAGAAGTTGTGCAGATGCTGATCCGCCGTCAGCACTGTGGAGTCCAGGCGCAGGGCCACTGTGTACAGGGGGCGCTGATTGTCGATCCATTGGATGTCGGGGCCGCAGTTCTGCTAAGAAATTGGAAGGATTTGTAGGAGTGCCAGAGATTTTGGATAGCGGGAAGGTGCGCAAGCATGCGGATGTGCAACGTGCAGCAGCAACAGATGGAGAGAGAGAGAGAGAGAGAGAGAGAGAGAGCGGAGGTTAGTTGTGAAATGATTGGATGGTGGGATGGGGGGTATCAGGTTTGTTTTGTAAGAGACAAAAAGAGAGACAAACACAAAAACATGAGTGTGATGAGAGAGCACAGCTTAAGCGGATCCATTCACTTACCCCCTTGCCCCAACCCAGTGGCTGTATGGACAGATAGCCCACTGGCAATGTGGCAGCCACTGGCAGCGGCTGCTCCTCCAAACAGATGCGATTCTTTTGCAGCAACGGCAGCCAGGCATACCCGATGGGCGTCTCAAAGGCGGCCTGGGCATCGCGCTTCTTGCTCAGATTACAGGACACATGGTAGAACGAGAACAGCAGATGATGCTCGGCAAAGAGGCCCAAAGGAAGACGCAACTTGATCTCCTCGTACCATGTGGGGGTGACATTATGATGGAGTACGGGACAGGCGATTTGTGTGACTAGCAGATCCTGTCCTGGCCTTCCATAGATGCACTGCAAAACGGGGGTTAGCCAATGTACGTCAGCATGTACTTTAGTCTATGTATTTGCTTACCTTCAGGGGCTTACTGTACTCGCCGTCGCCATCTCTGAGCTCCACAACGACCGTGATGTTCCTGGCCCGCGAGAACAGCTTCTGGCTATCGAACTGCAGACTCAGCGGATACACGTACAGATGGTTGCAGAAGCTCGTGTACGGATGAGCTTCCCTTTCGCTTTGGTTTTGGAATTCAGCCAGCTCCAGGGTCGGCGGCTGCTTGGAGGCCGGACTAAAGGTCGAGAGTGGCGCCAGGGACTTGCTCAGACCGCAAGGCACTGTCTGCTCCACGATCTGTAGCTGCATCTTGAGGCAGCCCGGGATGATGGTCAGCTTGCTGAGCTTCTCTGGCTTGCGATAGTCCACCAGGAACTTGAGCAACTCCTCGTCCTTGAGCTTGGGCAGCTCCTGGCGATAGATGGGACTAAAGTCGAACTCCTTGTGCGGCTCAACGTCCAGCTCGTGGCTGTAGAGCTTGAACAGGGGCTTGGCCGCCCAGGCAAACGGCTGGCGATAGTGTCCAATG